AAGATCAAACATATGATTCTTGCAACCTCTGAAACCTTTCTGCTATTCAACCTATTCCACTGTAAGGTGTATCTGATCTAAACGGATTCTATAATAGTTTAGCTTTTTTCTTTCGTTTTTGGAAAATATCTCAAAGAGGTAGGAAGAATTCAGAGATGGTTAGATAAAGGCACTGACCAATCCTACTCCATGTTTCCTCAGAAATTACAGCAAGTCACTAGAACTCATCCCCCATATAAATATGCAAAGGGTTACAGTCTTCAGTATCTTCAGTTCCAGTGACACTTAAGCTCATCTACCTTTCTTTAGTTGGAAATACAAGCTGTCAATATTCTTGACTTCTTGACAAATATGATGGGTACATCCACACCACTAACTGAAAGAACTTGCCAAGCCACTTCCATTGTTTTGACTTTCACTGAAGAACCTTGAAGATTTTAGGTTCATTGATAACAGTTTCAATTTTTCTATTTACCACCTCTGCAGGACTACAGTCTTCATAGTTTAAGTTTGTGGCATGGCCAGTTCGTTGTTGCCCTTTTAAGAAACTAAAATACATGTCTTTGGGACATTGTGCTCATCCAAGCATCACTGGAAAATGCAAGATACAATCAATCAACGATCACAAGATGTTTCAAGCCAGATTTGGGTACTTCAGTTCCTCATGTGATAAAGGAGTGCTGCTGGGGACTGGGAAGAGGAAGAATGGTGGAGACCACCTCCCCATCCTGACCCTTCCAGGGAGGAGGAAGACAGTATAGATTACAACAGTGGTTTGAGGGAGGTTGCAGCTCAGAGGCAGATGAGGGGAAAAGCTGGGAAATCATGGGAGAGCCAGAGCAACACCTGGCTGATGTTGTCATTTGAAAGCATTCCAGACTCTCCACCTGCTGGAACCCAGTAAGCCTTAAAAGTAGGAGAGCAAAGAGCTCAAAGACAGGGCATGTAGCAGCACCTGAAAAGGAGGTGATGGGAATGACGAATGAGGAAGTGGGAGAGATGGGGGTGGAGATTCCTCCGGACAATGCCATTATCCAAGAGGCTGGGTTCTATAGCCTTTCTGTGTGAAGATTGAAATAAAAAAGAACTGTAAGAAATTTTCCCTTGTCTTTATAATTTCCTGGACAACCAGCCGGGAGCCACTGACAGGGAATAAACATGCAATTCACTGACCATCCCATTGCCTACATACCATAGAGCAGGGGTCAGCAACCCACGGCTCCGGAGCCGCATGTGGCTCTTTTACACCTTTGCCGTGGCTCCGGGGCGGATACTAGCGAGGGGAGGAGGCGCATTGTGCGCCCCGACACTCCCCACTGTGGCGGGCGCTGTACTGGCTGTGACGTCGCATGGGGGCGGTGCGTGTATTAGTCACTCACCGTCCTGACGTTACCCTCCCACCCACCCGCCCACTACATTGTAAGGGGCATGTACGCTGGTCACTGCATTGAAAGGGGGCATGTACGTTGGTCACTGTTTTGAAGGGGAGTGAAGAACACACACACACACACACACACACACACACACACAAAGGTAACTTGTTAATTTAACGTTTATTTCTATGAGGAGGAGTAATTCTGAGGGGTCAAACAAAGAAATAATAAAAAGTGACAAAAAAGTTATTTTTATAATGACGAGTTTTGCGGCTCCCAGTTTTTTTTCCTTCAGAAATGGGTCCAAGTGGCTCTTTTTGTCTTAAAGGTTGCAGACCCCTGCCATAGAGGAATAATGTCTTAAAGGAGGGACTTTTTTAACTGGTGTAGCTGAACATACAGGTTTCTAAACCATGCATTGACCCTGCACAAGTGGCGCCAATTCTCCCACTACAGATATTTGATTCCAATTTGTGGGGAACACCAATGATAGTAATGAGTGCAGATCTGGTACAGTTGTCTCTAAGCTTCTGCAGACAATTCTTTGCTGTTGCTTACAGGGGTGGGGAGGGGAGAGATGTGGTGGGGAGATTGGCATGGTACAAACACACTGGTGAAACCAATTTGGCACTCCTACTAGTGCATTTGCACCACACCGTCCTCATTTCCTGCCTCTCTTTGTTTACCTTCTATTCCAAGACAGATATTTATTGTTGATCTCCTATCTATCTTTACTGGTAAATGAATGTATATCTCCTATGAAATACATTTGTTACTGAGGCCGCAGACTCTGTGATCCGTGCTTCCATCCAATTATTTGCTTTTCTTTCCAATTAGAATTATCCCCCCTACCCCAAACAATATTTAACACAATCCTCCTGAGCAGCCCACGTTGCTTTTAAAATTGGCCTAATGATGGCATGAATTCTATGAACACTCACTCACAAACCTATTCATTAGCTCTTTTGCAAATAGTAAACTGTTGGAAAAAGAGAGAATATCTGAGTTATAAGTTAAACTTAGAAAGTGTAATTATATCACCCTGGTAACTAAAGATGCTTCTCCCCCTTAGCAACTCCTATATGAGATTGAGAACTAACCGTGTATTTCTTCTGTTTTGCAGTTGAGGAGAAATGGAGCCGTAACTTGGTCTATCATTAACAGGGCCAGCTCTACCATTGGGCAGCGTGAGGGGGCTGCCTCAGGCGGCAAGTCCTGGGGTGCAGAAAAGAGCAGCAGCAAGACGATGTCAGAAGAAAGCCACCTGCCCTAAGTCAGTCTACGGTTCTCAGATGCAGTTGAAGACACTGTCCCGTCATCAATGTTGAAGTAAGATTCAGTTGTCAGACTGCTCAGCTTTTGCACATGGCCTGGGAGTAGGTGGCACAATGTCTTGGGCCAGCCCTGATTGTGCGGAAGGGATTGCCTCTCAAAATCAGTCAAGGGTCTGCATTCCCTCTAAGAAATCAGGGAGTGGCTTGGCTGTGTTCATGTATGGTACTTGAGACATAGAAATGGCTCACCAGGCAGCACAAAATGTCACTATGCTAGCTTCCTAGCATGTGGGTCACTGTTTCTTGCCTGGGCAAAGAGAGATAAAGATGAAGTGGTGAGGAGGTTGGTACAGTGCAAAGGCATGAGTGTGATGCTCCAGACAGTGCTGTACCACACTGACCTCCTCTCCTTCTTTTGCTCCTTGTAAACAGTAGCGATCCCTATTTGAGAAACCTGGCATAGCTGCTTCACCCCACCTGCCTGACTACTTCTGCTCAGACTTTAATCTCTCCTGCCTGTGTTCACCTTTTGAAAGCCTCAAGTTTAATGCCTATTGTTGGCTTCCCAATGCATAAGGAGACTGTGCCGTAGATATCAACAAAAGAAGGAAAAAACATTGAATGTACGTGCAACCCCATTTAAGGGGCTTTCTTTATATGATACATGCTTCCCTCCTCACTTCTAATCCAAGCATGTGAGATTAGGCAGAGGATTTTAATTAAGCGATTTTATTCTGTGCACTGCCTCAGGAAATAGTTTTAGAAATTAATTTAACAAGAGAGGGAGGCGGGAAGACTTCAGGAAAATCTGGGGTGGTTTAGAATGAAGTGATGGGAGAATCCAGACTCCTGAGTGGCAAACATGGTGCCAAATTTAACTAGGGCAGGATAAAACATGAGATGTTAAGGACAATGACTTGCTAACAGATTGCTGATTACAATCAGAGGAGTGCTTGATACTTACATGGAGAACCTCTGGGGCAAATTCACTTGCCATGATAGAAATGAATCTTGCATCCCACTCCTTGCTCAGAAAAAAAATAAATTGGTCAGATGATGTAGGGAGCAGCTAAAACCAACAATTAGCTCGCCACATGAAGCTATCCATGTGGTCCTGTCTGAAGAAGTCATCCACAAACAACACTATATATGAGGAATTCGGTCTTTGCAAATTGTCAGCACACCCAAGGAGAAGACTCAAGACACAGGAATGGTGAAATGGTTATATGCATGGAACATAACAATGTGGGGAGGTGGGCCTGAATTAACGTCTAGAAGGGAAGTGTTCTTCCAATCCCTTGAGCAAATTGAAAGCTACATTCTGTGGCTCCCAAGCCTTTCTCCAAAGTGAGCTGTAATTGAGCCCAACATGTACACCCAAGCCCCACTGTCTAGCATTCACCAAGGTACATGGGCAAGGCCTAAAGGGCACCCCCAAAGACACACTCACCCTGAGCCTATGGAAGGTGCCCTTCACCCAATAATGTCTCAGGGTATCTGGATAGGAAGTTCTTACATTCATTCTTGAGGATCAGAAGGTAACTAGCCACCAGATTTCTCACTGCTCTGCAGTAAGTTATCTGCAGTTTAAACATATACACATTTAATGATTGCTTAAATAAACATTGAAATGCCTACCTCAAGGGGGAAATTCACATTTTATTATGCTTTAGAACAACATTTAAAGATACATTTTGATTTTTAAAAAAAACAACCTTAGATCAATGCAGAAGTAGTATAGAACTATGGGTAATAATATGTGAAAGTCACACAGACCAGAAATAGTCAGATTCATCCACTCCTAATTATGAGATAATAAGGCACATCTCCTAGTCATTCTGTACTTCATAAGATGGATCTAGCTAGTATGACTCACTCTTTCTTTCTTGCTTTCCTTGAGACTGATGATTCACTCATGCAAGAACTTGCAAATGGAGAAAAGAAAGAAAGAGGGAGAGAGAGAGAGAGAGAGAGAGAGAGAGAAAGAAAGAAAGAAAGAAAGAAAGTGCTTTAGGTAAGACTCAATAGGAGAAGAATGTGAAAACGATGCACTAAGGACTCAGAACTACATTTTAAATGTGTAGTAAAGTGCAATATACAAATGTGACACTAGATGGCAACAGTGAGCTATGCCAAATTCAATGTATTTTTCAAAACTTGTTTTTAAAACATTTTCACAGCGTTTTTTTATATATATGTAGCTTCCTCCTTGGTGTATCTAAGGTCTTTTGCTGGTTTGCCTTGAAATCCTCCAGATGTTTCACTTCAATCTTCACTTTAGACAAAATTCAGCGGCAACTCCAGATAGGATGAATGGAAAAGCATGGAATGGAAAAGCAGTGGCAACTCCAGCATGGATGAATGGAAGATGAGGTGCTTCAGGAATCTTCGTGATAGTCGTTTGCAGAACACCAGCAGCAACCCTTTAGCCCTCTTCAAGAAATCTGTGAGTGTGTATAGTAAACATCCGAGGGTGGGGACAAGAAGAATAAATGTGTTCCCTTTGCTCCTCTTCATTGTTGTTCTTGCTGCCCCCTATGAGATGGGAGGTTTGTGTACTTGTGGTGCACAAGTACATGAATTTTAGACCTCATTTCATACAGATGCCCTCCAGCTGAAGGAGGAGAAGCAGAACAACAAGGGGGGTGGCCTCAGCCAGCATGCTCATTCATGATGCCTCCTCTTTCAGTAGCAGCCTGTATGGTGGGATGCAGCCATCCTCTTGTCACAAACTTCCCAGTTCCTTATTTGGACAGGGCTGGGGCATTGCAGGGTGGTGGCAAGCTCAGAATTCCACTGGCACTCTGATGGAGCCATTTCCAATGGTGTATTTGCACAGCCCTGACCTCACTACCACCCTGCTCCATCCAGATAAGCCGCAGCAATGCCAGTGTTTGGAAGGTGTTTCAGGAAGAGCTACTCTTACAGGCAAATTCAGAATAACAGGAACGAGTGGTTCAAAGCCAGGTGCGATGTACTGTTACATGGAAAGTCTACAAAATTTTGGATTCATTTCTGTAATGTTTCAAATGTATATGTAGAGGCCAAAATGTTGTGTCCTGCCATATATAATATATCTCAGCATATTCTTTTTTTCCACTTAAACATAATGAATTTATGGTTGTGTTCCCGCACCAATTTCTAATCTGTGAAAGAGCAAGATCGCCATCTGTAAAACTGATCCTGTGGTTTTATTTCAATGTAGTGGATCATTATATGACTTAATTAAAGTCAGCACCTTCCAATAACCTCATCTTTCTAAGACATATATTCTAATGCTCACAGAGCAGTCTAATTGGCTTTCAAAACTGCCTCAAAGCAGCCATTCAACAAATGATTCATATATAACCTCTTAAAATATTTAAGCTGTTTCGAGCCTTTGAAATATAATCACTTCTGTAAACAGAATAAATCTCAAGATACTTCCCCAAATATATTATGTTTCATTATACAAAAAAGTAACTTTTGCTCTGTAAAATATACGCTGTAAAATATATGCAGATTTATATCTATGCTTGCTATTTAAATGAAATTTAAGGGTTGTTTCCCCCCTCTTTTGACTTAGACCCACAAGACTTTAGTTTCTACACAATAACTCTACTAGGCTGTTGATTGTTGCAAATAGGCTCTCCCCCCCAAAAAAAGAAAATATAAAAATGCAAAAATATACACAAAACAAAAAGCAATTAGAATATGTAAATGATGTAAATCTGTTTACACTTGCAAGACAGCCCTTTTTGCTCTTTCTCTCCATGCAATCATTCTTAACCATGTCTGGCTACCACTTCATGTGGAGAAATGCAATGTGTATAAAGGCATATATTGAATCATAAATCACCTGTTGTTTAAATTACAGAGAACCAGTTTAAATTGTTTGTGGTGCAATCCTATACATTGTCTACTCAGAAGTAAGACCAGTTTAGTTCAATGGGGCTTTCTTTCTGGAAAGTGGGTATAATAGCATTGCATTTGGAAATTCAATTGTATGGGCATAGTTGCCTCTGTTGTAAGAACTGTCAGTTTCTTCTGGCCCTCTGTTTCCAGTTCTTCCACCTGATTACAGGAGCAGTCTTCTTATTCCATGACGAATAGGCTCAGCAATGAACATTTGAGAAGAGGCTCAGTCAAAGGTGTTTTGGAAGTCCAAGTATATCATAGAATCATAGAGTTGGAGGGGACCCTGAGGATCATCAAGTCCAACCCACTGCAATGCAGGAATATGCAGCTGTCCCATACGGGAATCGAACCTGCAACCTTGGCATTATCAGCACCACGCTCATCATACAGGGATGAGAAACCTGTAGCCTTCCAGGAGTCATTGGACTCCACCTCCCAACAGCCCCAGTCAGCATGTCCCATGGCCAGGGATGATGGGAACTGTAGTTCTACCAACATTCTAGAGAGCCACAATTTCTCTATCCCTGGTATAATAGCTAGTGGATTAAATCCACATGTCAGTTACACTCTAAAAGACAATAAGGCCAGTAAAGCAAGACTGCTCACTGCACAATCTACATGGATTTGCCCTCAGTATGGCTTGTTCTTGTGTATTTAAACACTCCAGCTTAAATCAATCTTTCTACCAATTTACCATGGACAGAAGTTAGGCTGACTCGTCAGCATTTTGTCACACACCCTCTGTGCCTCAGATCCTTTCTTTCAGGGAAAAAAAATGGTGTAGCCTTGGCATCCTTCCAGTCCTCTGGCAAGGAGGCTGAATTTAATTACGCTGAATATTTTTGCTAAAACAGTCAGCAATTTCCCATTTGAACTCCTTAAGCACTCTTGGGTAGATGCCATCCAGGCCCAGTGACTTGTTCATTTTGAATTTTGAGCTCTAAAACTCCATCCTTGGTCACCCCTTTCCAGCTCCCCAATCAGTAGATTCAGGTGTGACTATCCAACCAGGGCTTAGCTGAAATTCAATTTTTCCTCTTCTTTGAGCTCTTACTAAACTTTTGGAGAATTTCAGTTCTCCCCTGAAGGAAGCTATGGGCTTTCTCCCCTTTTCTTCCAGTTTATCTCTATCAATTCATGTCTTCCTCCATATACCAACATGAATTAACTATAAAGTTTCAATCAATCATGAGCGAGTTAACATATCACAGAATATCATTTTTAAGGGGGGAAACCAATGTTGAATCCAATGGACAAAGCAACCCCTGTTATGTCAGGTTCTGCATGTATGGATTGGGCAGAGACAACTCCGTTGGCCAAGTAAGCCTCCAACTGGCTGCCAACCATATAATGATGTAAGCATTACTCTGCCATTCTACAGCTTCTGTTTCCACCCGCTGAAAGTCAAACAGAAGTGTCACTGGCAAGATCCCTATCAGTGGAAGGCCCTGGAATGGGGGTGGGGGTTTCTGGAGACAGGGAGGAGCGGAGGCAGCCCAGAATTCCTTGGATCCCAAGCCCTACTGCCATCATGGGATAGCACTGGGCCCAATAACTATGCCAGATCCAAACTGGTACACTGATAATCTTGTATTCTGGCCACATCGGGGCCAAGGATGTAGCAGTGGTCTCACTGGTCTGTAAAGCCCCATTGGATATGACTAAGTCCACTGAGTTCAGTGGATGTACTTACTTGGAGACAACCTTTGGAGATCCTTATATCCCCACACCACAGGGGCGCCAACCATAAGGGGCTCTGGGTGTCCGAGCACCCAAAAAAAATTGTTGTGGATGCTCAGCACCCACACTGCAGGGCCCCTGATGCAACTTTTGGTGCTTCATGAAGACACATCTGAGGCCTCACGAGACCTCGGAATCCAGATTCCGAGCCTGGGATGCATGTATGACATCACGATGACACATTGCAACATGACATCATGATGTCACACACACTGGGCACCCATAAACTGGGGTCCAGGTTGGCTCCTCTGCCACACCATGAATATTCAACAAGACGATCCCATCCCCAATTTGCTCTTCACTAATAAGAGAGCAATTCTACAATTTTTCATTCTTCTACAATGAAGATCAATGAAAAAAGAAGAAGAATTCCGCTTCTCAGCAGTCTCCCTGATATCCTTCCTCACTCCTTTCATAGTACATGGCTGCAATCTTTTGCTTAGTAACCTGGTAGGAAACGCCCCTGAACTGCTTGCTGAGACTTATTTATGAGTAAACGCATATACATAGAAGTGTTCTGTAGAAGTCCTACAATCGCCTTGGTTGTTCTTGTCCCCTAACCCCTGCTCTTTGTATTTTTAAAGAAATGCTTGCTTTCATGCTTCTAGTATAGTGGTTTTAAATCACCTCCAAGTTCAATCCTCCTGACTCTTCCCTACAACTTCTTCATGACTTACGTTTTTATTTCTGAAGCAGTCCCTCTCCTGAAATTAAATGTGACTGCACCGGACTTTCTAGACAGTTTCTCATTCACATAAACATTGGATTTCATAGTGTTGTGGGCACTCTGCCCAAGCCGTTTGGCAACTCTCTGCATATATAAGAACATAAAAAAAGTCCTGCCGGATCAGACCGAAGATCTACTGAGTCACATTGGTCAACCAGATGCCTATGGGAAGCCAGAGAGCAGGATCTGAGCATGGTGCATAGGTTTGTACTGTTTGTCATGAGTCATCATGACAACTCATTCCACTAAGTTGTCTTTGTCAGCTAAGGCACCATCTGCACTGTACATTTAAAGCAATATCCCTTTAAATTGTCATGGTCCTTCCCTCCCCGCAGTATTATGGGAGCTGTAGTAGCTGAGGCTGGGGCAGTTCCAATCTTCATTTAATTGTTGAGCTCTGATTTTCAAAAGTCCAACAGCAAGCTGTTTGGGCACTAGGTAACATCACCAGAGACTGTTCTGAATGCCTTGATTATGTCCTCAACTGTGGATGCTGAAAGTTGTTAGGGGACTCCTACTCCCCGCAGAGATCCAGAGATCTAGAATTCCCAGAGTTCCTTGGGAAGAGGGACTGATTGATGCTGAGGATTATAGCTCATTGTCGTAATCATTTTCAGTTTGATGTGCAGGTATGCACTAGCTGAGTAAGCTACAGTTTAGGGCCTCAGAATATGTGGCTCATCTAAACGCACATTTGCACTGAAACACACAAACATATCTTCCCTGAATTTCAAGTTTAACATAATTGGATAAAAAGAAGAAAGAAAACAGGGAAAACAGACTCTATAATAGACATTATCGTTCTGAAAAGACAAAAATATACTTAATGGCTACAATTATCTGTCATATTAAATTCATAAATCTGTGCAGAAAAACTACAATATCGTTTTCGTGTATGCTAAATAAGAAACTGTGAGGTATTTTCATTTAAAGGTATTTCTTATGCAAATAGGCTAATTGCAAAAGATATGTTTTAGCTAGATGGTTAGGTTTTAGTTGCATCTTCACTGGTGCGCTGGCATGCATGCAAATCTAGAAGTTTATTATTTCTCTTTCCTTTGACCTTTCTGTAAGAATAATTAACTTTCCTTCTTTTTTTTGGTACAACTATGGGCCCTCTTAAACTTGACATAGCCTAGGACCTCAGCATCTCTTAATCTGGCCCTGAGTGCAATCCTGTGTATATTTGCAAACAAGGATGTCCCACTGTGTTCTGTGAGGTTTAATGCCCCCTAGTGAGTGGAGGGGTGTTTCCAGCCCACCTAGGCACAATGATTTGTTTCATTGTATCTAAAAAGTTCATTTATTTGTGTGAATGTACATTTACACAGACAATAGGAGAGGACATGCTCTTTCTTGTAGCTTATTGCAACACTGCCATCTAGAGTAATCCTTTGATGGAAGAAGCACATGGCCACAGTGGATACTGGGGCTTTGGCCCCAAGACCAGCTCTGCTGCATCAAGGAGTTGCCTCATCAGCTTGCTTGTGTAGTTATTTGTCAAGTTATTGCCAGAGAGGCATGGGAAGGATGAACAGGAGAGAGGCTTGGATTCTGCTGGGGGAATGTATGTACAGTGTTCATCCCTGCAAAGAAAGATGTGAGCACAACTATATTCATGGTGGCTTGGACATTAAGGGAAAACATGCACAGTAAGCTGATGTTTCTCATGTTCTAAATGGTCAGGTTTTTATTTTACTTCTACACACTGCCAGCTTCATGGGTTTGATATGCTGATTTAAGACTTTTGGACTTTGGGAGTTAAAAACGTTAAGGACACTGAAAACCATTTAAAAACTAGCCACGTACCCTCAAGGAAGATGGTGTGGAAGCTAGTGCGCAATGCCAGGGTCTGAGTGAGTTTTGCTCTTTATTGGGCACAAGTCAAGCCAATACAAAAGGATCTTCACTGGCTGTACCATATACATCTAAAGTCCTAAACAGCTCTGGAGCAGGTTGTCTGAAAGACAGTCTTCCCCCTCCAGAGTCTGGTAAGGGTGTTAAAATCATCAAATGGAAACCAGTCAGTTTTGCCTAAAGATTATGAACCTGCAAAGGTGGAATTTTTTACTAGTAGCACCAGGAATATGGGACACTTTCCCTGCTGAAATACAAGACATTCCACCTTCTCTTGTACAGATAGGCATTCCTCTAATCTCCTGACCCAAACCTCCTGATCTAATTGTTTTAATTGTTGCTTTAACTTTTATTATGCTATAATGGGCTTGTATTATTTTACATTTTAATTATGGATGTTTTTAAACTGCCAGTGATTTTTATTGTGCATTTTAATTATGTGTTGCTTGAAAACCACTTTAAAGACATTTTGGCAAGTCACTGGGATATAAATAAATAAATATAATAACAAAAAGATAAGGGGGAATCTTGGCCATCTCATCTAAATTAAGGTAAATCATCTCTCTCTCTCTCTCTCTCTCTCTCTCTCATACACACACACACACAATTATGAAAATGTTGCCTGCCTCCTATATAGTTGTCGTTGTTACATAAGTATATCCCACCTCTCTTTCAAGGAGCTCAAGGTAATGTTCAAGGTTCTCTCCCTCCTCATTTTATCCTCACAGAAACCCTGTGAAGTATATTAGTCTGTGAGATAGTGACAGGAGAAGGTGACAGGTGAAAGATAACAGGAAACCACACTGAGCAAGCTGGAACTAACTCTTCATTAGCAAAAACAGTATCTGCATAGGAGTGTCAGGCCGCATGAGCACAGCAACTCTTCTCTGGCAGGTCTGGCCCCCATGAAGCAGTTATGGGGACTGATGGTCCCTGCCTCCCCACAGATGCCTAAATCCCCTCCTCTCCAGGGTTTCCCCCAAGCAATCTGAGATCATGCCTGCGTGAAGCTAACTTCTCCTCCACCCTTTTCACACCTCTTCTGGTTCTGGGAGACTAGGGAGGAGGGCAGCTCATTGCAGCAAGAGGGGGAGACACCCGTGCCTTTTCACTAGCTGGACTCATCTCTGCCCCTTGGCCTCCTTCCCTTCCTGCTTCAGCTTTTGCCTCGGAGTCTGGACTGCTCTTTGCCACAGACCCACCCACTGGCACACTAAGCCCTGTTAGCTCTTCAGCATCCGACACCCCCCCCGTCTTCTCCCTCTGACCCCTCATCATCATTCCACCACCAACCCCCCGATTCTGAGCCTTCTTCCCTTGTGGGTTCCCCAGGTGGTCCTCCCACATTCCTCTGCATCCAACCAGCCCATGAAACAAGATCACCCGGTGAGCTTCGTAACTGAGTGGAGGATTGAACTCTAGTTTCCCTGGAGTTAATCCAACACTCCAGCCACTGGACCCCACTGGCTCTCTTTTCCATTTTCTGACTGGTAAATAGTCATGTGGGGACACGGGTGGGGCTGTGGGTTAAACCACAGAGTCTAGGACTTGCCGATCAGAAGGTCGGCGGTTCAAATCCCCACAACGGGGTGAACTCCCATTGTTCAGTCCCTGCTCCTGCCAACCTAGCAGTTCGAAAGCACGAAGTGCAAGTAGATAAATAGGTACCGCTCTGGCGGGAAGGTAAACGGCGTTTCTGTGCGCTGCTCTGGTTCGCCAGACGTGGCTTAGTCATGCTGGCCACATGACCTGGAAACTGTACCTCGGCCAATAAAGTGAGATGAGCGCTGCAACCCCAGAGTTGACCACGACTGGACCTAATGGTCAGGGGTCCCTTTACCTTTACCTTTAAATAGTCATGTGAGCGATTGGGAGCTAGTTGTCCCAGCATTAATGCTGGTCGCCTGGATTTCAAATGTGGATAGTAAATGTGCCTGAAAATCAAACACCCATATTTGGTGTGCGTCCCTCCACTTCCATATCATTACTCAAGAAATTTACTTGGAAGTAAGCCCAACCCACTGGGACTTAAAGCCACTAAGTATGGCAGCCTCCATTAAAATGCAACAACAGCATACCACACTTTGGACTATTATAGGCTTTTACACCCTTGCTCAATGAAGTGGGAGTGTAGATGAATGGTTTAGGCATTAAGGAACCAAATATAACATTTATATTAAAACAAAACCACAGTTTTATTCAGCTGCCTATCACTTCATTTTACAACTAAAACGGAAATATGAAGCTGCCATCCCACTAATTAATTAGCAATTCATTTATTATAGTCTGAAATAAATTTTCTCCACTTTGCTTACTCTGTGGGTTTCGAAATGTGTTCTACATTATCCTGCAATCAAGTATGCTACAATGAAAGAAAGGCGGTGGTGGTGGGGAATCTTCACCTTAGCACAAAAGCAAGCTGTACTGGGAAGGGACCCGCCACCTCCAATGCTCCTGGAGGAATGTGACCATCTGTGCCACTAATGAGCTTGGGATGCCTGCAGTTCACAGGTCAGAGAGAGCTGCCAACTTGTTGAAAGCAAATGAGCCAGGCGGGGATTCTAAAGGTCCTGAGGAGAACCCTGGAGGGCTGCCTCCAAGCTGTCAGTTGACTTCAGAAGAGGTCCAGCAGGAACGACACAGAGTGATGGAATCAGGGCTGACTGGAACAATGTAGCGAATCTGTGTCGTGGATGACAGCTCCCATCAGTCTCAGTGAATGGGCCGTTTCAGTTGTGCACACTTTTTGGTCCAAAAATTATGAATGGAAAAGAGAGAGCAGCACCCTTGATACACAGCAATGCTGCTCCAGAGTCCTGTGGGGCATCAGTGCATATGTGGAAGCCCTGAATGAAGTAATGGCCCTTCACTTCCACGCTGAATAATGCTCCCCCTTTTTCCCTCGATCCCATATACTGCGGAGTATTCCCTGAGAATAAAGTGAATGGGCAACCATTGTTCACACATAACTTGTTGCTGGCAGACAATGAAAGTCAGGAACTTGTTCGCTGAAGCTCCTGTATAGGGGCTATTTTGCACAGCAATCTGTGTACATTGTTCTTCAAATGACAGAAAAGCACAAGGTTTGCTTGGGGTGTGATGCTTTATTGTTGGTTTTTGTTTTGCTCTTTAGAGTGTAAGAGATTGCGCTTTCTCCTTACATACACCCCACCCACTCTTTTGCCCTTTTCCAAGCATGGCAGAAGGTGATAAAAAAATGGCTCCCCAAAATGTGCTACTGTATTTAGGTGGAGGGGGCTGTTCACCAGCTCTACAGACAGGGGCAGAATTCAAGAGGGGGTTTTTGGGGGGTGGGGAGACAGTGGACAGAAAATTCTCAGATTATTTCTTGAGAAATTCTCTTCAGATAAATTTGGACTCCATTAATAGTGAATGGAGGTCTTATTTCTTATCAGTAGATGAAGTCAGCAATGGACTAAGAGAGGAGGACATCAAATGATTGCTTGCCTGCATTATGAGGCCACCCCAGATTCAGCACCGTGGACAGAACTTTCAGAGCTCTTCCTGTATCCCTCTGTGTCATTTCAAACACAGTGTTATTTTCCCCTTTAATTGAGGCAGTTCACACATTCAATCACCAGCCATCAGGAAAAGACAGCTCAGCCAATTGCCTTGAGGGGCAATGGACCAACCCCTATCTCTGGAGGTCTTCTCAAGCTCCATGGCTTTCTCTGGCTAAAAGGCCTTCTCCAAATCTAAGAAATCAGTGTGATTATATGAAATAACCCATGGACTAGCAGAGCAACATCCACCCACACAGCTTTGAAACCAAATGCTGAATTGTGGAAGTCAAATCCTCTTCTCCCTAAATCCAAGTTTGTTCCTACAATGTGGGTCCCCCCCAAAAAAATTAAGTAATCAACAGGAAGTTAGAGATGGTAGGTTTTTGTTTTCCCTCCAGCTGAGCAATAGCTAGAGTGAGTGAAAAGCAAGCTCATCTTGAAAGTTTTCAAATATAAAACTTTAACTCAGCAAAATTTCAGGCAAATAGCTAGCAAAATTCAGAACTATCACACATTCTACTACTGCCTCTCAGTAGGCCATTATTACTTCGGTACTAATGCTCATCCAATCTATGCTTGACATTTGATAGTGAAATGATTGCTCAGCTCTGAGAGGGGAAACAAAAGCAATCAAAAGGCAAACAGGAATTTCCAAAAGCAGAGAAACACAGCGTTTAGATGATACATTGATGGATGAGTTCTAAATACACGGACAAATAGATAAATCATGGCAACATTCGAAAATGGAAGCTTTTATGAGTACTTTGGGAGACTTTAACAAGCAACCTACATATACATTCACAAGGTCTAATCACAGCAAACATCATTCACTTTTTTATATGTAAATAGCCCTAATTCTCATTCCATTTCCAACTGTTTTGTAACTCATAAAATCACAATAGCTCAACCTTAATTATCCAAATTTTCTCATTATCCAAAATAAGCATATATCCCCCAGAGGGGTCCACATCAATGAGAGCAGAACCTTTGATATCCAGCAATGCATTTATTTGAATATACAAGATGTCAAGAAACCATCCACTACTAAAAGACAATATGTTTTGCCATTTAGTATTTGCCATCCTGCAAAGGTATTCCGAGTGGATACGTAATTGACTTGCTACTCAAAAAACATGACCTACACCTGGCACATTCAAAAGCCAGGAGCTGCATTTTAAGTAAACCAAAGCAGTCAGAGCTGTGAAGGTTATCAGAAGCAAAACTTAAATCAGGAATTTGATCATGTTGGTGCCCCATTAGCTTCCTCATCTGGACTCTCCTACACTCAGGTTTTCCAAAGTATGACAGAAACCTTACTAAGCAGAAACAGGTGATTGGCAGGAGATGCACAAACCTCTCCTTAAGCCCTCTTCCTCTTCTGAAAATTCATGTAAAATTGATTAGGACTGTCACTAAATTAAAGAAATTTTAGCTGGCCAGGCATATGAGTTTTAGGCAATTTAACAAGAGTAGTATTCCATTCACCCATTCTGTTAGTGCAAGGAATTACATTTGTCCAAACAAATTATGCCCTCCTTCCCTGTGCACACCCCATGCCCTCCCCAAATGTGCTGTGGGGGTTTGAGGAAATACCTAGAACAGATTTATGGGGTGCATGGGGGAAATGGCAGAAGTATGTTCCATTTTGCAAGCAGAAATCCTTGTGCTGATGAAAGCACAAGCACTACTTTGGAGACAAGCCAAGTGTTTGCATAAATCTGCATATGCATAAAATCAATAGTTCAGGAAAAAAGTGATTCACACAAACACTGGTCATTATTTTATAAAGGGTGTGTGTCAGTAGTCATTTTATTTATTCTCAATGGTTAGACTCCTCCATGCAATCAGGGATCCTGCTTGATCAGGATCTCTGATTGCCTGGAGAGTGACATTCAAGGAAACACAAATTGAAGCCCCTGAAGACCTTCCCTCCACAACACAGGAAAGGTGTTTGAGAAGGGTGAGACATGCACTTGGTCACTGCAGGCAGGGTGTCCATGTTTCTCCTCTTCCTTTTAACCATTGCGTGCTCAGGCAAAATGCTAAATAAATTCCCTTCACCATCACTATTAATCACTCCCTCATTATCACTGTGCTGCTCATCATGAAAGAATGCTTCTCTACATTGGGAGGCATTAAGGATGCATTCATTTTCTCTGACAGAGTAATTACAAAACTGAATTTTTGTGATTATAGAATATAGAAAGAATATAGAAAGCTGCCTTATCCAGAACTGTTTATCCAAGTGGTCCAGTACTCTGAATAGCAGCAGATCTGAAGATTCTCAGGTGAATGGCTTTCGTAACTTCTGGTACCCAATATCTTTTTCACTGGAAATGCATTGGACCTGGGACTTTCATAAAGGAGGTTCTACCCACTGAGCTATAGAAAACACCTTCTCTGGGTAGCTAAGACTGAACTGGTGCAGTCACCACACCCTGAACATGCATGCCTTTAGTGGAGACTGGTCCATTAGGGACCGCCTCTCTCCATATGAACCTACCCAGACCCTGAGATCATCTTCTGAGGCCCTCCTGAGGTCTGGAGGGTGGCAACATGAAAATGGGCCTTTTCTGCAGTGGCTTCCCATTTTTGGAACGCTTTCCCCAGGGAGGTTTGGCTGGTGCCTTCATTGTATGCCTTTAGGTGCCAGGCAAAAATGTTCCTCTTTAACCCAGCCTTTGGTTGATTGACATCCAATGCCCTTTTAAAATATGTTGGGGGATTATTGGGTTGTTCTTGTTCTTGTTTTAATTATGTATTTTGAGTTTTTATATTGTTATTTTAATCTTGTGAACCACCCATTGAACCAGACCGGTATACGAATTTGTATAATAATAATAACAACAACAACCTCCATCGTTCTGCCCAGACACTGATGTTCAGCGCCGAGGGCCTTCCAGCGGTTCCCTCACTACGAGAAGACAAGTTACAGGGAACCAGGCAGAGGGCCTTCTCACTAGTGGCACCCACCCTGTGGAACGCCCTCCCACCAGATGTCAAAGAAAACAGCAACTACCAGACTTTTAGAAGACATCTGAAGGCAACCCTGTTTAGGGAAGCTTTTAATGTTTAATAGGTATTTTAGTGTTCTGTTGGAAGCCACCCAGAATGGCTGGGGAAACCCAGCCAGATGGGCAGGGTATAAATTAAAAATTATTATTATTATTATTATTATTATTATTATTATTATTGCCTTTAGCCTTAGCCTTTATCTAGCCTCCCATGTACCTGCTTTCTTACTTGCAACTAGTCAAGGGAGCAGCACTGCCTGTCGGCTTCCTCTTCTTTAGTTTCGGTGTTGCCCTTGAAGAACTTAGCAGGGAGGAGGATAAGGACAAAATAGCATTAGTTGGCTCTGCCTGCCATTGGCTCTGGCCCCACCTACTCTTGACTTCTCTGCCTTCTGCCCCATCAGTTTCAATAGGCACCAACCATAAATGTCAACTCCCTGGGGCCCTGGGTGCCTGAGCACTCACCAAATTCCCCATGCAGAGTCCGGGCACCCACAAATTTGGATGCCAGGGCCATGCATGCTGCATAGCACCCACAGTCCCAGGCACTCACAGTCGTGGGGCCAAGTTGGCACTCCTGACACCAACTGGTACTGTATGCCTTCCTATCTCAAAGTACAGGGGTCAGACGTGCTATTTTTCTAGAAAAAGAGGTAATGGCACTCACCATGAACACCTCCTTCTCTTATACAGTGGTACCTCAGGTTACATACGCTTCAGGTTACACACTCCACTAACCCAGAAATAGTGCTTCAGGTTAAGAACTTTGCTTCAGGATGAGAACAGAAATCGGGCTCCGGTGGCGTGGCAGCAGCAGGAGGCCCCATTAGCTAAAGTGGTGCTTCAGGTTAAGAACAGTTTCAGGTTAAGTACGGACCTCCGGAATGAATTAAGTACTTAACCCGAGGTACCACTGTAATAGCAATGGTGCCCACCTGAGAGGTGCTGCAACTGAGTTCCAGTGAGTTCTGGCTGGAAAAAACAACAACCTGAAGAGGTAATGGAATCCCCCCCCCCCAAATGAAACTCCATTAACTTTCCCCAGGTCAGTGCTGCCCTGCATGCAAATCTCCAAATTTGACTCAAATGTTACTTGAGGCAACAAGTGGTGGCAAATATACCCAAAGGACCTGTTGGCCACTCCAGACATGTGCAACTTTGTAAGCAGCAAGGGAAAACTATGGACCCTGATGCTTGGCAGTGCTTTTGAGGTGTTTGGGTGATTTTTGTTCTTACAGCTTAAAAAAAAAAAGCCACAAGAACCACCTAAATATTCATGCCTATTATACAGAAATGCTCAGAGCACACTTTTAACAAGCAGCAGTGGAAAGAAGGGGAATACGGTATGCTTCTGAATGACGTTCGTGCAGGGGGATGATACACCTTCCTCATTAGGCTAATTGAGGACTAGACGAGGTAGCAATTGTGCAGATGTCACTAGGAATTCTGTACAGACATGCACAGCTGTCAGCATCAACTACAATGTCATTGTGCTTAATGCCTACATTATCTGCATATGACAGCCTCAATAATGAGATGTTAGTCTGAGATGGAGAAGAAATAATTTCTCTGCTTGTTCCCAATAAGCTAGATGGATTCCTTATAGCCTCAGAAGATGCGGTCAGAAATCCGTCTTGAGTTTAGCAGGGCTGCAGAATGGGGGATTTGCAGCAGAGGGGAACCTACAATCAGAAAAGAGCTGAGGCAAAATTATCAGGAAGTGGTAATCACAGCAATCAGAGACAGAAATGTGACCAAATTTTGTCTCCAGAGGGAAAAGGAAACCAGAATATTTTAGCAAGTGCAAGGGGTAGGCATTTAGTGAGTCCGAGATAACAAGCTCCCCAAATCTCAATCTTATTTGACAGTGAAACTCCAAAAGTTCTGGTCTTGCACAACAATCATGATGAAAGAGGTTCCCAGGAGCACACGATGAGCTTAAAAGAGCTTGGAAGAGTGAAGCATTCTGAAGTTCTTATGAAGTTCAGCAATAATAATAATAAATGATAAATTACTATTGAGCTTTAATAAACTCCTGGCAAAAATATATCAGTTAATTCCTATGGACGGATAGGAAAGCTCAAATATAATTTAAAACAATATCTCAACAAAGAAGAAAAGGAGGCAAGGTTTGCTAAATTTAATCACATGTTACAAATGCAATGAAATTAGCAGTGGCTAGGGCATGGTTTAGAGACTTTAAAATGTTAACCTTTCAACATGTAGCTATTAAAACAAATTTGCATATTGCATAACGGCTTCAGGTGATAAACAGATTTTTAGAAATCCAAGAAACTCAACTATTGATGATGTTATATGAAGCTAGATGTTGTACGGATCAAATCTGAATGCCAACTTTCATTGTTAACGTCAATGTTGTGTAGCTAGGAAATAGCAGATCTGGGAGATATACACATACGGAAAGTACATCACCAATAGTGAAAACATAACATTTATTATCCTATTTCATCTATATTTTTAAAGAATATTTTTTAGACTGTCTGATTTTGAAATGTGGACAAGAAGGGACCAGATCAAATTTTGAGAAAGTTATGTAACAACCATATGTAAAAAGTGTTATCGTTACATAAAGTTTTATGGAACTGGATTCCATGGCAATTAATGAAAATAAAGAAATAGGAGGCATTTACAGTGGTCCCTCTAGTTACGAACTTAATTCGTTCCAGAGGTCCATTCTTAACCTGAAACCGTTCTTAACCTGAGGTACCACTTTAGCTAATGGGGCCTCCTGGTGCTGCCGCACCACCAGCGCATGATTTCTGTTCTCATCCTGAGGTAAAGTTCTTAACCTGAGGTACTACTTTCGGGTTAGCAGAGTCTGTAACCTGAAGTGTTTGTAACCCGAGGTGATTGTAACCCAAGGTATCACTGTATACACTAAATCCATTTATTTAGAAAGATGCATAAACTGCTAAATCAAAAACTCTCTAAGTGACATGCATGATAAGCTTATAGATAATCAGATAAAAACAGCCCAGTATTTAAAAAGCAAGGATACATGAAGTATCAATAAAATCAGTAAAACTTTTAAAAAGCAAATATGGATCACTAGACTACATGCACCTTAATGTAAATTATAACATATGTTAGTGAAATCCTATACATATCTACTCAGAAATAATTAAGGCTTACTCCAGGGTAGATAGGTATAGTCTTGCAACCTAACAGTGCAATCTATCTATGTTTACACAGTAGTAAGTCCTATTAGTTCAAGGTGTACAGAACTGCACACTAACTCAATCAAGCTAAATGAGAGTAAGATCTAAACCAAGAATGTCTGAATTGTGGTCTTTCAGATGTTGCTGAACTTCAACTCCCATCAAATCTAACAGGCCTGACAAATTGCCTGAGATCATTATAGTTGCAGTTCAGCAAGCATCTTGAAAGCTACAGGTTGGACATTATTGGCTGTCATTGCCTAAAATGAAAAACAGAACCAGCAGACTTCATACACATTTAGTCATCTCATGGATAGCTCTAACCATATTGAGATGGGAATGCATAATTGGGCTCATTAGAGAAATGTAAATTACTGAAGGTCCCAATGATTTTATTTTTGAAATTCTTGAAGGATAAAATCAAAACATAAGATATTAAGTTTGTTACACATCTTTTAGACACTGCAAGATTTTTATTTTATTTTTTTGCAGCAAAATGTAAGGTTAAGGAGGCACCTACTAGAGATAAATGTTTAAATGAAAATTTGGCAGATAGCAGAAATGTTAAGACTGACTAATTATGTCAGAATAATAAAATGGACAACAAGATTAATTAATCAAAAATGAGAAATGTTTCTTCAATATTGAAGCAACATGCATAATGATTTAGAGCAAATCTTTTCGGGGGCTTTTTGTACTGATTATGTAATAATTACAGTAATCATCATTTTGCTTCTTAAACATAAAAAACACTAGCTTGGCCATTTAAACAAAAAAGAAACCTAGGCAGATAATTCCTAGTAGCGTGCTAAATTGGCTGGAAAATATGTCCACATATCATTAATGTGAAAACAATGAGGGACTGGGGAGCAGGAAGGAAAGAATAGTGAATGAATGTGGGTGATTATTATAATTTGTAACCCATACAAAAATACAGAGAGAAAGGGAAGGGCCATAGCTTAGTGACAGAACAACTGCTTTGTACTCAAGTTCAATCTCCAGATAGGAATAGGAAAGACTTCTGCATGATGCCTTGGGCGTTTGGTGCCAGTCAATATAGGCAATGCTAAACTAGATAGAAAAATGGACTGACTTCTAATAAAGCAGCTTTCTATATTCCTGTGAGTTTTAGTATGTGAACAGATGAACCACCTCCAATGTTTTATCAGTTAATTTCAAGGAAGGCTACTGATCTGCTAAACCACATCCCGTTTTGTTGTGGCAGCAAGATAGCATGCAGCTTCCTTCTCCAGAGAGGTTTATCAAAGTTTTATTTCTTTAGGATAGCGGAGGTAGAAAGGACCCTAAATAAGACTCAGGGCAGGATACCTCCCTCCACATCAATCTGCCTCTATGTAAAGATCATACACTCTCCAAAGTGTCCTTGTTGTCAGGAGAGATATTGCCTTCTTAGCTTTACCTGGCACCAGCAACAGTACTTCATAACACTCGCTGCACTGCAAGGATCTTGAACCAGAGCATTCCTGACAGATAGTTATCCAACCTCTGCTTTGAAACCTTCTGAGGGAGCCCGTTCCACTATCAAACAGCTCTTACCACCAGAAAGTTCATCCTGATGTTTAGTCGGAATCTCTTTAGTGATTTGAGGACCCGCCACCCACGTCAGGATAAGAAAAGACACATGGACGCAGAATATTAGGTTAATGGGCTGAAAAAGACCACAACTTTATTGATTACAGCATGTGAGAGGTTTTGGCTTAGGCATTGGATAAAACAATGGAGCGTGACTCCACCCCCTCAGGAAGGGGTGAGTCTAACAAGGGTTAACCACTAGTAGGAGGAGCCTGTTGATGCAAATACAACTGAAAGCTCCCCCTGATGTCACCAGGGGTCGTGCCATGGCCCTAGCCACCAGCAAGGGCGTCAGACAGGATCCACGACCGCCGGATTCCTTTAACGGAATACCCATAAAGCAATGAGATGAAAGCGTTGCTGCGGCCACATTTTGAGCGGCTAAACCCCGCCCCCAAGCCTCCCTCCGATTGGATGTCTGCCAGGGGCCGCAGCGCGGCAACAGGAACAGCAAAGCAGGGGATGGCACGCCCCCTGCTAAAGGTGGGAAACGGTTCCCACTCACAACTCCTCCCCTCTGGGAAGAGGAGAGGCTTTCTTATAACTTGAAGCCACTGGTTCAAGCCCTACTCTCCAGAGCAGGAGAAAACTAAGCTTGCTCCATCCTCCATGTGACAACCTTTTAGATATTTAGCCATGAAGATGGCTATCCTACCTCCTCTCAGTCTCCTTTTTCCCAGGCTAAACATACCCAACTCCCTCAACCGGTCTACATAAAGATTGGTTTCCAGACCCTTAGTCACCTTGGCTGCCCTCCTATGTACATGTTCCAGCTTGTCAATATCATTCTCAAATTGTGGCACTCAGAACAGGACACAGTATTCCAGGTGTGGTCTGACCAAGGCAGAATAGAGTGGTAATATTGTTTCCCTTATCTGGACTCTATACTTCTGTTGATGGAGCCTAGAATAGCATTAACTTTGGAAGAGTGGCCCTACTGTTGGTCCACCTGACCAGTCCCAGTGAGCATTTTGTACTGTCTGTTGCATAAAGTATAACGTAATCACAAAGCAGTGTGTAGTTCCCTTTTCTTGGAGAGAGAAAGCAATATCTAAATCTCAGGGGCTCATGAAATTTCTCTGTAGAATCTGGGATAGCCAACGTTTTCATTTGCCTTGAACTCCTGTGCCTAAAAGAACAGCCTAGCTGTTCAACTTCCTTAATTTCCACATGGGCGTACTAATAAGGCTAAAAAGATAATGGTCATATCATGGTGCTTCATACAGAAAGGAACTTTACAGTAAGAATTAAATGGTTACATCTAGATCTGGTTGTATGTGTTAATGCAAATGGCCAGCAGACTGAGCCTAAGCATATTTACACAGAAGTAAACCCTACAGATTTCAATAGGATTTTCTCCTTAGTAACCATACACAGGACTGCAGTCTCAGACAAGCTTTTAAAATGACTGCAGCGAATAAGCCCAGCAACTTCTTCACTTTTTAGCAAAGTTTTAGTAATAAGTATGCAGGCTCATTCCTTGCCCAGACAATAATATAGGCCTCAGTTTAGCAAACAGTTAGGCGAATGCTTGCAAGCCATACTAAACAGAGATGGACTTAAATGCACGCTTGAGTGCTTTTGCTGAGTGTGGGAGCTGCAAAATACAAGCTGGTTAAATGATCCTTACAATGGTGTGATTATATTTACTACTGTTATGAGTGTTTTACATGGGCAGCTCTAATGAAGCCTCCTGACCGTAGTGTGAACTAAAAGCCACAAGAGCATTCAATGAAACTAAGAGGATGCAGTAGCCAGTCTCTTTCAAATTAAAAAGGTTCTCTGTAATGAACTAGCTTTAAACTACTGCAGTAAGGAGAAGGAGGAAAAAAGTTTGCTTGTATTTTGTTCTCCAGTCCTTCAAAGTAGGGATCTTAAGAACATTGGAGGAGCGTTCTAGACCACACCAATGACTCATCTGGTCCAGCATCCTGTTCTCACAGTGGCCAACCAGTGGCCAGTGGAAAACCCCAAAGAAGGACCTGGACGCAACAGCACTCTCCCTTTTTGTGATTCCCAGCAACTGGGATTCAGAGGCATTCTAATGTGCTGAAGACCATTTAGTTTGTTGCTCTAGGACTTTCTTCTGCTAACTGTACTGGTAGCACTCACAAAACCATTGGTGGAACACCACCACTGCTTATAATTTTTCTGTTAGTGTAAAGTTTTATATAGCCCGTTGACATGGTTCGCATAAAATGCTAAGCCATGGTTTGCTTAGTCCAAGGGTGCATTGTTTGAGCATTCAAACCCAGCCCAGCAGACTAACCACAACAAGCCACACTGTGAAGCCACACTTATTTGCTGGCTTAGAAAACACAACTTATTTTAACTCCAGTTTGTCATTATAAGCCTTGCCTAACTACGGTTTGTTTGGGCACTGCGCTCCAGATCCTGACAAAGCTATGAGGGAAGAGCAGCAATAAAACATATCAAGTTGTGAGGAAATAAGCAGTGACCAGTTTGCTTATCTGTGACTTGGTTTGTTGAACAAACGATGGTTAAAACTAACCATTGCTTTGCACTATGTCCAGACACAGTCACTGTGTTTCAAATATGTTTACTGGTTATGGGGAAGTAATATTAAAAGGGGCCCTTAGAAGAGTACTTAAAATGTAGTGGTGATCAGAAAATAAAATAAATCGCACTGGCCATAGACAACACCATAGGAATGTCTAATTCCTCTTCATTTCTTCGCCATCCCATATTTTATAGCTTCCTTATGAAAAATGACTTCTTTCAAGACCTGTCAGTTGTAAAGTGTCTCCTGGCAGAGTTTGGCACAGCAGGCTGTTAAAGGCGCTATTATCTTGACAGCTGCTGCAGGTTTTACAGCTCTCTAGAATGACAATAATTTGTTTGTTTCATATTTATATATTTAAAGAAAGAATAAAATGATTTTCCTCAAAAAATATCATTAACCTACACCATTTATTATAAAAGAAATTGGACAGAGTACTGGCCTCCCTTGAATTTATAAAGAAAGTCATCCTCCTCCCCCATTCCAACTTCCCATAATTTTTAAGTAGCCAGTTTTTAATTTTGGGAATACTCACATCTTTCTACACTTGAGGTGCACTAACTTTGGCAGCCACTGATATAATTTGAATATGATTTTAGAGTGAGGTCAGAACAGGGGCGTCATCTCCTAGGGGCCAAGCCCTTTCGGGCCAATATTTTTGGGGAGGGGCCACCCCCTAATGTTCAATGCAGGTGGAGGATTCCGAGTGCAGGAGCCACAGAGGGGAAGGAGTAGAGAGGAAGCCCCCAATCAGTGGCAGCAGCAGCTGGAGGAAGAGGAGTCACCAGCCACTGAAGCCACACTTTCAGTATATCCAGCTCCGTCCACCGATGTCCTGACATCATGCATGCAACTTCACACATGCAACTTTGGGGGCCTCATTCTCCCTCAGAGTTGGCACTTCTGAGTAAATAAATCCTGCACAAAACTCAAGGATTAGAAGGATTGATAATATAGGTTTTACAATACTTTTTCAACGACCCACCACGTGTACCATATATTTCCCCAATGAAACAATCTTTTTCTGGCACCAAAAAATAGCAAAAGAGGCGCAGGCAAGTCTTGCTAGGGATTTTTATAAGCAGGGAGTTAAAAAACAAACAAAATAACCTCTGCCTAGTAACAACTCACATTGTCTCCAATGACAAGGGTGCCCTAAGAAAAGCTTCCATCGATGACTTTGGAAATTGAGCAGGATGGTGTGGGAATAGACCAACAGTGGGAAATTTCTACCACATGGGACACATGGGAGTCTTCTCTTCTCATGAGGTGGCCAAAGTATTGGAGCCTCAGCTTCAGGATCTGTCCTTCCAGTGAGCACTCAGGACTGATTTCCTTAAAAATGGATAGGTTTGATCTTCTTGCGGTCCATGGGACTCTCAAGAGTCTCCTCCAACACCATAATACAAAAGCATCAATTCTTCGGTGATCAGCCTTCTTTATGGTCCAGCTCTCACTTCCATACATCACTACTGGGAAATCATTCCTTTGCACCTCTGTTTAAATCTGGCACTGAATGCAAGCTCCAGTGGTTTCAGGCAGGATTAGTTCAACTCAGAGCTCTGCCTTGCAATCAGCACTGTTTAAATTTGCTGCTGAATGCAAGCCCCCCTGACACCATATGATTGACAAGTCAAATATGGCCCATGTGAGGTGGCCACTTTTTGATCTGGCCTACCAAACAAACGTGGTTCTGCCTCCTTTGAAATGACACCTTTTGGTTTCCAAATCATGGCAGGGTTCAACCCTAAGCACTAATACTGATTCCCTGTACCCTGCTCCAGAAACAAATTTGAGCACAGAACTACACTTTGGGGGGCCCCGAAGCTCGAACTGATATGGGGGCCCCTTCACAACCAGCAACAACGTCTGGGTAACCACTGTTATCTTCAGTGGGTTTCTTCCATAACGGATCACAACTTTTTAAATATTAATAATAATTGGCTGCTACATCTTAGATCTTGATTAGAATTGTTGTTCTGGATTATCTCACATGTCAAAGGCACTGGAGTGAATTAAAAAATCCTATGCCTTATTGTTTTTGAATTAGAGCTCAGTTGCCCACACAGATTCCAGTTCTTCAACGATTGCACAAGTTTATTTATTCTGATTGCGATTATATCCCTGTGGATTTTTGTTGGTGGTAATTTCTAATGGGGGATATCCCTTTAGTGTTCTTTTAAAATCAGTGCTGCTATCACAGTAGGACTCTTTGGGGCAGAGATATGAAACCCCACTACAGAAAATGAGCAGGAGCCCCCCCCCCCATACTAGGCAGCCGATGTGACACAATTTGAAGCAAACGATGTAACATGCATTACCATCCAAAGAGGGATGGCGCTCTATATAAAACTATAAAGTGCAGCATCTAAAATTATCTAGTTGCATCACTGTTATAAACATGCATTATCGTCCAAGGAAAGAAGTAAACAGGCAGCACTTAGCAATGATTGGCTTCCCTGGCACAGACATGGGAAGAGGATTTGCACTAAGTTTAACTAGAACCTAAGTCCAGACAGAGTACCTCAGCAGGGATTCTGTTTGCAAAAGCATTTATAGGCCATGATCTTTTAAGAAATATTATCAGTTTAGTTAAATAGATTTTAGTAAGTTTCAGCAACCTATGGATGTGTGTGTGTGTGCGCACGCGCGCGCACGCACAAACACACACACACATGTAAATGAGCCAGCCATTGGTCCAGCTAGCTCCATACTGTCTACAGTGACTGGAGCTGGTATCGTTGACTAAAGTGGTATTAAGGACATAAAGCTAAGGTAAAACTAATCTTTAAGTACCCAGTTTTTCAGTCATGATTAATGGCCCTTCCTTAGATCCAATTTGTTTACAAATTCAGCTGAGACTGAATGCCCTTTCCTCCCTTACTCTGCACTTGCCTTGGAACTTCTTGCATGTGTCATGAGGGCAAGATTCTTCAGACTGGAGGTAGAAGAAATGGAGATCAAGAATTCAGGTTTATGCTAATGATGCATTTCAAATTCAGTTAGATCAATAGCCAAACTGCTTCAAGTGATAGACTTCTTTGGACTGCACTCCGGCTACAAAATTAATTGGACCCAAATGTCAATTGTTGGACTTTCGGGTCAGCGCCATCAGTGAATGGCGGAGTTCCTCCGACTGGAGGAACTAGCTCCGTGAAAACTGGGTCTTCCCGCCGCGGCGAAGGCGGGGACCTGCTAGAAATCCCAGGCGGAGGAAGCCTGGGAACGTGGAGTTCGGCAGGGCACCAGAAGCGCCCCCCTACTCACCGGGAACCCCTTTTTGGGGCGCCGGAGCAAAGTGGGGTGAGCGGCGCGGTGCTGCGAACTGATTGCTACTTTCACGGAGTGAAGCCACACAGCCATTGCCGGAGAGCGCTGACTTTTTCCTGTGGACAATTGGATTTAAAACAAGTACCCGTGAGTAGAAACGGAAAATTGGAACAAGAAATATCTTAATTTGACATTGAAGCGGGAAGGTGCAAAACAGGAAGTCCGCCTTCCGCTTTTTGTATATAGACTAAAGCAAAAACTTTGTAAGCTAAAGCCTGGAAAGCTGTCAAAAAAGTCTAAATTTCCTTCATTCAGAACTACTGAAACCCCCTTGGAAACAGGAGAGAGGGGGGGGATTTTGTTTAACCCCTGCAGGAGAGGGAGTGGGAAGGATGAGTTTCCACCGTCTCTAACCTGGGAACGGGGTGTCAGAGACAGAAATTGTAGGTTCATTGACTGTGAATGGAATATTTTGACAGATAGTTAAAGAAGAGAAACAAGCTGATTCCAATGTTGCCTTTTGCATCTTAAAGAAACAAAATATCCGGAAAATATCTGAAAAACGAAAGTAATTTTCCTTTGTTGGACTTGCCTTAAAAAAAAAAAATGGATACAAATAGAAATTGCCTCCTCTAGAGGGAGCTTGTTAAATTGTTGCAGCAGTATACTTGAGGACTCAACAGCTGTGAGATTAAGACCGTGGGAACAGTCTTTTCTGACCTTGCCTAAAGATGAGCTGGGAGGAAGATTGGGTGCTTGCCTTATGCAAGACAAGTGCCCTGTTGGAACAGATGCATGAGAAGATGGACTTGATGAATGAAAAAATGGATTTGACTGTTGTGGTTAATAACTGTGGACAAACAGGGAACATTGACACAGAAATTATTCAGGGACCAACTCATGAATCTGTACTGACTGGGCAAGATCAGAAGATAATGGAGGAGGATGCGGTTGCACCTCAAATAATACAAATGGAGAGACCTGAGGCCCTACAGGAGCATAAGCCGCTGTCATTGAAGATTGAAGTTGGAATGGGCCAGGGGGAGTCTGGTGCTGAGGAGGTTCCTAACTTTGGAGAGACCTTGAAATATGATTTTAAATACCTTTTGGATTTTATCGAGGACTGTGGGGAGTGGGACTTTGGGGAATGGGTGGGTTTGATGAAGGGAGATGGAGACAATTCTGGGTTGGAACCCCCCAGAGAACTACTCCTCAATGAGAAAGGAAAGGAATTAAGAAAGAGACCAACAAAAGACAAGGAAAAGGGCAAGTACAAACAAGAAGAAGAAGAAATGCAGAAGAGACATGGAAGAGACTTAAGGGCCTCGGACATAAGGCTTCCAGGTTGATGGACCAGATGGATTGGACAGTAAGGACTGACACGATCCGAGACCAGGAAGATGAGACGTTGGATGAAGATTGGAAGAAAATTTATAAAGGAAACTTTTTATTTAGGGAATTTGCTAAAAATTAATGAATATTAGGGAAAATGTTGGAATGAAACTATATGACTCTAGCAGAAATGATATCAGGAGTTATGTATATTTGAAAACTAAGATTTAAGCTTTAAGGTATTTTAGGGTAAGATAAGGTTAAATAAATTAAGGTAATTTGAATAACAGAATATGGGGAAAGATGGTAAGGATTTGCTGAGCTAATTATTAAGTTAAACTGCCAAGATAAATTTTTTAACAAAAATTGAGAAAGATGGAAAGAATTTGCTGAAATAACTAATTAAACTAGAATACAAAAAGGGAGGTGTGAGGAGGTCAATGAAACAAGCAAATGGAAGTTATAGATGTGTAATTTGGGATCTATGTTGTTTTCTTTTTTCTTTTGTTTTCCATTTTTCTTTTTTTCTTTTTTTGTTGTATTGTTGTTTCTCTTTTTCTCTATGTATTATAGTGTTGTTTTTAATTTTTCTTTTTTCTTTATAACTTTAAAACTACTAATAAATATTATTATTTTTTAAAAAAATGTCAATTGTGAAGCCTGGATATGTTTACTCATAGGCAACCCTCCAATAAGTGGCTGTCAAAATGGCAGCATTGGTGATTAAAATATTTAGTGCTTAAGATCCTGCAGTGTGAGTCAGAGACAGCCACTACACAAAGAGGTGGTAGCTGGTTCCTTCCACATCGGGAGTCTTCCAAAAGCCAATCAAGAGGGGTCTCCAATTCTCTGGATTCAGTTTTCAAGAGCATGGGTGTCTGCAGGCGGGGGGCACAAGGAGAACCACTCCCTACATAAGCATATTTTACTTCTGCTCACAGAGAAGGATAATAGAATCCAAGCCATTATTAGCACCAACTTGGCCTCTGTCTACAGTGTAATGTTTCCAACCATCAGAACAGACAGAGGAAAATGGCAAGGACTCTCTCTCTGTGTGTACTGGAAACAAATGGAATATATGTTGTTAGGACAAGGAGAGAGTGGTTTTCAACAGGTTGTCTCTTTGATGCTTTATTTAGGGACTGTATAGAAGCTGAACCTGTTTAGTACCTAATATTTGAATTCTTCTAGGCTTTAAGGAGTTCATTGTGTTGAGAAATTACATATCATGTCATGAGAAAGGGCTGTGGGCTTCTGAAAAGACCACTGCACGAGAGAGCCCCTTGGCTATTAGCCAATCCTCTGAAGTCACACACTGAGTAAGAGTCAAATTGGAATGTTGGTGACGTCATCTTAAGGCACCAAAAACAGTATGTAAAGCCCAGTAGTTGCCCAGCTTAGTGGAGATCCCAACACAGAGACCATAAGAGAGTGCGAGGAGTTTGGTACCATTATTTGAAGGAAGGGATTTCCCACAACTGATAAAGGACCCATAAGATATACCTGCTTTTCTATGCTTTGTGTTTTATATTATCTTCTAAGAAATAAAACCCGTTAAAGTACAACATGTTGTTTCTTTTCTTGCTGAATCTAAAAGAACCCCTTGCCCCTTGACAAATCAATGTGGTTGGTTAACAGAGCATCTTTACCCCAGAAATACTGCATTTGCAACGGATACAGCCATTAACTAATCTTTATAGCCCTTACACATGTTCTGTTGCCCTTCCCATATATCATTCCTTCAGAAAGCAAGCACTTTGAATAAAGGTACTGTATACTATTTGTTTACAAAGCTCTTAAAAGTTGCCTCTGTTGTGCAACTGTACCTATTTCACTGTTGTTTGTTCAAATCTATGGAAAACCGTCAATGTACTTTCCTTCCAAGTTGAAAACCAACATTTCAGTGATCACCTCCCAATAGTGACCACTCTGTCATTGTTCCGGTACCAGAAGGATTATAAACACTCAGTCCCTCTGGAAACCTCATCAGCGACCAAAATAAGTGGGATCAAATGGTCGGAGGCTGTGGCCCAAAAATACCAGGATTTTTTCCATAGGGAAATCACTACCTATTTACCTCAAATAGCTACTGATTTACAAGATTCCAATTCGGTTTTGAAATTTTTTAACCTTCTTACAACAAACCTTACCACTTTTTTTACATTACCTCCCCAAAAGGCGAAAGTAGCGCATTGCAGTGCTGGGGCCCCTTGGTTTAATACCTCTTGCAAACAAGCAAGATCCCTTCTTCGTTCCATCTATAATGAATACAAAAACTCTAATACCCAGGCTCTACCATCCTCCTATTTACAAGCCAAAAGAGCATACAAACAGACTTTAAAGCTGGCCAAACGTGAGTGGTATCTAAAGCGTTGGCGAGCCTTGATTGCGGCCTCTAGATCCCGCAGACCACAGGAATTTTGGGCTTTGATAAACAAAAGAGGAAGGAAGTACCCACTGACGATTATCCCTGCGCCCACATGGGAACAATTCTTGAGCAAATATTTCTCCTTGGCAGAGGAATCCAACTCATCCACTGAATTCCGAGCCGACCATCTACCTTTGTGGCCCTCTACCGACCCAGACCTGATAATGGACTTGATATTAGATCTGAAAACGGGCAAAGCCCCCGGGCTGGATCTAGTCCCTGCTGAGGCTATTCTTGCGCAACCGAGGTGGTGGGCTGAAATCCTGGCCAAAGTCTTTGATGCAATTAATTCTACGGGGCTTATCCCTAGGTCATGGAAGGAGGCCGTGATCGTGCCAGTCCATAAAAAGGGTCCCCCTGCTGACCCGGAGAACTATCGGAACATCAGCCTTTTGTCTATCATCGGGAAAATCTATGCAAAATTTTTGCTGTCCAAGCTGTCCAATTGGGCAAACGACTCAAATTTGATTGGCCACGAGCAAGCGGGCTTTAGGAACAATTATTCGACCACTGACCATATGGTAATCATGTATCATCTTGCCAGAAAATATTCTGCCCCGAGTCGGGGGCGCCTATGTGTCGCTTTCATAGACCTAAAGGCCGCCTTCGACAGTATCCCAAGAAACTGTCTATGGAAGAAATTAGAGAGATGGGGCATAGATAGAAGGCTGTTATGGCTCATAACCCAATTACACCATGGGTCGTCGGCTAGAGTGAGACTCACACCGGCGGGAAACCTATCCAACGAGGTCCCAATAAATAGAGGTGTGCGCCAAGGTTGCATTTTGGCCCCACTCCTCTTCAACTTGTTTATTAGCGATATGAAGCTCTTTCTGAATGAGTCTCAAGCCAACATTCATGCCCCCGCCTAGCTGATTTTCGCTGCCCTCTGCTCTTATATGCCGACGATGCAGCGATCCTTTCCTACTCTAGAGTCGGTTTATGCAGAGCTCTAAAGATTTTTGCGGCTTATTGCAAACTCAACCATCTGACAATTAATCATGGGAAATCTAAAGTCCTGGTCTTTACCAGGTCTCGGAAAACTTACAGCTGGAAGTTAGATGGAGTCCAATTAGAACAAGTTTTCAAATTTAAATACCTGGGAGTCTTTTTCACTACAACCTAAGCTGGAAGCCACAGATACAGTATTTACTAAACAAAGGGAAAACAATACTTTATACTCTACTCCAATTTTTTGCGGCCGACGGAGCCTCCCACATCCCTTCTGCATTGAAGGTGTACCATGCAAAAGTGGTTTCCACCCTCTGTTATGCTGCCCCGCTCTGGGCCCCAGGGTCCAATTTAACATCGTTGGGGACATTGCAGAATCAGTTTCTCCGTCGCCTCCTGAAACTCCCCATGTGTGTGAGCAACGCAGCCATACGTCTGGAGTTAAGGATTGCATCATTGGAGACGGTCATCTGGAAGCGAGTCTTTGGTTATTGGCTGTCCAGCTGGCACAGGCTTCCCAACCATTACCTTTTCAGTGCCTCTGGCGGGACGACTTTGTCAATCCGTGGGTAGGAAAAATCCATGCCAAACTTCTGAGCATCGGAATTTCCCCAGCGGACTCCTTAAAGATGAACTTACGCTCAGCCAAAAGACTTATTGAGCAGAGATTAGCAGACATTGAAAATCAACACAACCTCGCCGGGGTGAGGGTGTCTGCTCCCCAGGTATCACGGAATAACCTCACCACTTGGCCTTCCATCATACATGTCATCTCTTTCATCTGTACCACACCGACATGCATTTATTCGTGCAAGGTTCAATGTCTTTCCATCGAACCTGCTGAGCCACAGATTTTCCAAGGGTTTGGTGTCTCCGCTATGCGTGTGTGACGGGAAAACTGTTGATTCTCTCTCACATATAATGTTCAACTGTCCCCTACATAGCATAGCCAGGACTAAATTCCTGGGCCCTGCTTTACTGCGCTTGGTTGGCAGGCCTGCTGAGTCACATGCCGCACTACTTTTGCAGGATACAGATCCTTCTGTAACTCTGCAGGTGGCGAGATTCCTGAATGCAGTTATCTCACACACAAAAACCACCAAAAACAACAACATCAAAAACTAATCGGACAGTTTTGAAGAGAGTGCATGTCGGATCTCGTCTTCAGTTCTCCTTTTCTGGGATCCGTCCCTTGGAGCTCTCCGGGCCCCAAGCTGTTATCTGGCTCTGCTCAATGACCCACCCCTGCATCATGGTGTTCACCTTCTGGTGCCGAATATATTAGTCTTTATGCCTCTGTGCTTTTATGTTTGTACATACTTTATGGGCTAATAGCCGTAAATAAATAAATAAATAATAAATAATCTTTATAGCCCTTACACATGTTCTGTTGCCCTTCCCATATATCATTCCTTCAGAAAGCAAGCACTTTGAATAAAGGTACTGTATACTATTTGTTTACAAAGCTCTTAAAAGTTGCCTCTGTTGTGCAACTGTACCTATTTCACTGTTGTTTGTTCAAATCTATGGAAAACCACACGTGTCACTAGATATCTCTTTGCTTCGGATCCAGCTGCAGGTATACCTCAAAGCTTACTGGTTTCCAGACTAAGGGAAACTAGCAAAAGGAAAACCCTTGGTGTGGGTTTCTGTTGGGGAAGCAAAATAAATCACACTTTCTCACACAAATTATAGAACTGCTTAGCCATTGATCCTTTTTCAATTACGAGCGAGCAATTCCACCTTTAAATACAAGCAATCTTGAATTATGTCCCAGCAATTTGGGCTTTGGCTGTATCAGAAGAAGCCTGGCTTTGGAGAACATGCATAGTTGCCAAATGAATCATGTGCTACCAGTGGAAATCCTCTGTGATACCAGTGGCCTACTCACTGCTGGCACAATTATGTCTCTGAGTACCAATTACAGGGAATCCCAAGTGGGCAGAGAGCACTGTTGCACTCAGGTCCTGCTAGCAGGATTCCTACAAGCATCTAGTTGGCCCCTGAAAATTGGAAAGGATTGTAGCACAGTGGCAGGGAAGTGGCCTTGCAAGTTCAATCCCTGGCATCTCCAGGGAGGGCTGGGAAATACTTTTTCCTGAAACCTTGGAGAGTCACTGACAGTTAGTGTAGTCAGTAGTGACCTGGATGAACCAGGGCAGCTTCCTGTTTTCCAGAAAAATGTTGGTCTAGATGGACCAAGTCTCTTCTTAATTTCTGTGTGCAGTAGGGGAAAAGAAGAAGAAGAAGAAGAAGAAGAAGAAGAAGAAGAAGAAGAAGAAGAAGAAGAAGTTGTTTAGTGTGTTGTTTTAAGGGATAGAATTGAAACAATATGGAAACCATTTTGGTATCTGATATCTTCTTTATTTTTAATGCTTTTACTGAGTTTTTTATTTGTTTTAGATAGTACAAAACAGAGATATATTATTGCCTATCTTGAATGAGCAAAAACACTTGCAAAAGCACTGTTCTGTAATGGGAAGGAAGATTTAGCAGGTAGAAAACAGAAATGAGGGCTGTATAAAATATACTTCAAATCTGCCATCTTCTTTAATGTTCCAGTGATCTGTTAAGTATGTTGACTATATGTAGTGTATTGAGGTATGTTCCTAAAGTCTGAATGAATACTGAAAATAATTCTAAAAGAGAGGAAGTATTGAGCTAAGAAGATCACTGGACAACCAAACAATGTAAAAACCAAATAAATCTAGAATTACCATAACAACAGCTTCATGATGATAGTTCAAGTAACCAGTATTACGGATCATATTTCTGAGTATTTAACCCCAAGGTTGCCATTTGAAAGCTTATCAATTAATGGTCTAATAGGAACTGTTTTACAGTATCCCTCAATATCTGGAACTATAAGTCTTCCCATTTCCAGTAGACAATTTTGTCTAGCTTAATACATGGGTTTTGATATGGCAATATGACTCCCTGTAATTGACTTTTTCTTGAAAGAAATCTTCAGGGGGAGTGAAGGGAATAATTGTAAAGGAATATACTATCTTGACAGAATGTTAATTCTTAAACCTATCCCACAGTGAGTTGGCACTAAGAGGAATCCAACATTACACACACACACACAAGTCCTTGAACCAGTTGTATGAATGACACATTCTGACGAAAATATTTTCTCACATTTGCACCCATGGAATTGATTTCAGCAGCCATCCAATGCAAAAGACTCTTAAGGATTTGTGCTCAGGTAACTGCCTGCAACTCCACATGAATATTTGTAATGCTGCTCTGCTGTGTCAGTCAGTAAATCCCAGACAAAGCATTTAATTACTGAAACAGCCAATCATCTTTTCCATTGTCAAAAATAATTGATTACTATGCCTTGTGTCTTTATATATTTTCAAATTTCTCCTAAGTTTAAAGCGTTGTTTTTTTAAGGTATGGAAAAAGCCTATAGGTGTTTTTTCTGGCACAATTTAAGATTAGTCATGCTGCGTCTACATGCATCTTAAAAGTGAAGTTGGCTAGAGATGTTGCAAGCAAGCTTAGCATCAAGCATTGGTCACACATGTACACATCCTGGAAAGGACTTCTCCTGCTGAACAGATGGTTGGCACTATTACTGGTCACCGGTTTGGGGCAAAGATGAGGAGGGATGCCTAGAAGCAAGTCCTCTGCCTCCTGAACAGGTGAGTGGCACTGCCAGGCTGAAGTTGCTGACCATATGGTAACTGGTGTGCATAAATGGAAGTGGGAAGCTCCGTGTGTGCTATGAAAGAACTGCTGCCGCAATGTCACAGCCAGTGTGGTGTAGTGGTTAAGAACGGTAGTCTCGTAATCTGGGGAACCGGGTTCGCATCTCCGCTCCTTCACATGCAGCTGCTGGGTGACCTTGGGCTAGTCACACTTCTTTGAAGTCTCTCAGCCTCACTCACCTCACAGAGTGTTTGTTGTGGGGGAGGAAGGGAAAAGAGAATGTTAGCAGCTTTGAGACTCCTTAGGGAAGTGATAAAAGTGGGATATCAAATCCAAACTCTTCTTCTTCTTCTTCTTCACATATACATAAGGGGGCACAGGTAAGCCTCACTCCACATCATCAATCACAAGATGCAGCACATGCACACCATTTGAATGGTGATGCCCATCAATTTTAGGGAGGCCTGGCCCCCTCAAATATTTTATTGTGGGGATAAGGGATCTCGGTCCCTAGGAGTTGGCTCTTGCGCCAGAGGAGATGTATATATGGGACATGTATATATCGTCTATATATGCATATCTCATCTGACTCTTTTGGTAGCATGTGTAACACTACATTGGCATAGTGAAGCCATATGGGACATGTGTAGCTGTATTTCAGGAAGCATGAAGAATGATAGGAAAAATTCTATAGGTTCAAAATGTTTTTTGGGGGGGAAGAATCACTCAGGAGGACAATATGGGGCTTGAGCGAGTTACACCACTATATCAAGGCTGGTTCAATACATTTTGTTGCCTGAGGCAAAGGACAAAGTGGCATCCCTCCCTATTCTATGCATATATGCTTATGGGACTGGCTGTTGTCCACTGTGCCAACAGACCATGATTCATTCATGGCTCTGTCCTCCAACATATGGGAGTACTTAGGAGGAACAGCCAGTAGGTTGTTGCTGTTGTTGCCTTGCAGCGTCTGCAACCTGAAGCAGTTGTCACACTTTGCCCAGAAGGGTCGGCCTCCCGGACCTCTTCAGCTTATCCCCTACACTGTATGCAGTTTAGGAAACTCCACCCCCAAACACACCCCCAAACACAGACAGACACACACACACACACACACACACATGTCACATCCGATTACATGATTGGCATGACATCCATAAAGGGGATCTGCACAATCTCCACTTGGTTGCATGTGTGCGCGATTCTTGCGGGATAGAGGCGACTGACATTAATTAATCTGCAATAAAATTGAGATTTGTTTTTTAAAAAATCAGAAGAAAATGGCAGAGTTCTTCCAACCAATTTCAGTAAACATCTCTAATTAGTCTGCTGGCCCTGTGAGTTTGGGTAAATGCTAGCCTTAAATTTTATTGACAGCATACTACTGGCTGCGGGTTAATTTCCTTCAGTATATTAACAGAGCTCATAAATGAACCTGAAATATTAAGGAAGCTGAGAAATCCAAGATATGAGGCATTAACCAATTCTTTGCCAGGCCATAATTTGAACATCACAAAATAAAATGAATTATTCCCTGGCATGTTTTATCATTCTACTACATGCATGCAGTGTTGTCCTTGCTTATTCCTCTAAGCTAGCAAAGTAATATTGTTATTTATTGGTCATTCCTAATTTAACTCAAAAGAAACAAGATGATATTGGTGTTTTCAAAGGTAAACGTGTCCATTGCAACCATGTCCACGGTACACAAATGTCTCCAGTCAAGACCCCCAAAGTGATACTTCCATGAACATGTGTGTAAGATATGGATTCAGATATATTACAGTATGTGTCTAGACACACAAGCAAATCTAGTAACAGTTGGGAGTGGCTTAAATAAAAGAATGCTATGACAGGATATTGAATTTTTCTTCTTCCATAACTAGAAGTGTGATATACTGCTGTCTCTTGTGTTTCCTTCACCTTTTGTATAATAACAAGCTTCCCAAGTTTGGATACCCTGAGCCAAGCAGAAGGTAAACCAAGTTCCTCCCCAAAGTTTACCTTTGTTTGTAATTAACTCATCTCAGTTCCTTCAACTGTTTCTTTTCCTCCTTTTCAAGTGGTAGGCAAGGAAGATTTGGAACAGTTGAAGGCCGGTCTTTAAGATTCCAGTCTTTTGTCCTTTTGGAAGGGAGGGGGAGGTTCCTGCAGGTTCATTTTTAATTGCCACATGTTTATATGATTTGGCTAAACTGGAGCACTTTTAATTCCCTTCGATTTCACTGCAAGATTGACTTGTGCCTGTACTTAACTCTTCCTTTGAAAACAGAAGGATTTATTGGGCTTAGCTTCGATTGGATTGTGTTCTAGTACAGAGTGTTCTGTTCTTTGGTGTTGCTGAAAAACACTTTCGCAACAACACTAGGAAACATCAGGCGTCTCTCCATAGTTTCAGATCAAAGTCTCTTGTCTTTGCTAGGTACTTGTATCTCTGTCAAAGAAAACAAGAAAGAGATCTTAAAACCCATGTTCTAAAACAGTATTGGAAAGTTTGTGGCCTCCAGATGTGGTTGGGTTGCAACTCTCGGCATCCATGACCAATTACCCTTGGCCATTTTGGCTTTGGATGAAGGGGCTTGGTCTAACAATGTCTAGGTCATGGCCAGAGTCAGGATGCTTCTGAATACCACTTGCTGGAAACCACAGGAGAAGAGAGTACTATTGTGTTCCGGTTCTGCTCGCTGGTTTTCCACAAGTATCTGGTTGGCCACTGTGGGAGCAGGATGCTGGGCTCATCCAGCAGTCTTCTTATGTTTTTATGCCACTGGTTCCTCATCCCTCTTCTAAAACCATGAAACGGAGCAGCATGTATACACAATCTCTGTTGGCTGTTTTGTTGAAATGGACCCCAAAGTGAAGAGTGAACCTGGGCTAAATTTTGCCATCAACACGCATGTATACTCCCAGCTGCTTCTGTTACCCTCACCATTAGGGTTGTGATTCTATGAAATGAATCTGAGATACTTAGTCATGAATGAGAGATTTCAGTGGGGTAGGAGGAACACCCACGTTAAAAAAAATGATGCTGCAATTATGTCTCTAGTGTTTGCAATTATGGAGTTTTGCAAAGTTTGAGCAATAACTTGTACTCATTAATTCATGCAGCAATAACAGTTTTGGCATGAGGGTAGCTCTGCAGGCCAATAAAACAGATGAGCAGGCAAAAATGTCTCTGGCTAAAAAGACAATGGGCCTCTGAGGACTTCATCGCAAAGCCCATAACTAATAAGTATTTACACAGAGTGATTTTGATTAGGAAGCCTTTCACAAATCCTTTTGGGATAGAGGGAGAGAAAGGTTTGTGTGTGGATAAATGTGTGTGGCAAGATTCCAGGGAAAGGGAGGGAAGAGAGATTTACAAGTTACAAATGCAGCTTCTAATTTGGCTCCATGTAGGGTTTAACTGAAAGACAATAAACACTACTGCCAAACAAAGAGAAAAGAACCTCATACAGACAGAAAACCGAAGGAAAGGAGGGAAAGGGAAATGGTCAGTATCTTAGTCATATAGACTCCCAGATTCCCATGAGAGGTTGGGATTTAAAATGAATGGAAAGAATCAGAACCTCTAGATGTGGCAGCCATAGTGACTGTGGCAGCTAAATGAGCACAAATTGGAAATGAATTGGCACATTCTAGAATGATTTAGACATAATGATAAGCAATAGTCTTAGACTCCTGCACTCTTTCCTTACCTCTCCCCCTCCAGTGCAGCCACAGGGAGGAAACTGGAAGCTTTCACTTCACTTTTCAATTAATCACACTTTAGTGTTACAACCATACCCTAAACCATGGTTAATCTTAACAATGGTTAGTTGAAACAAACCAGCTTCACAACCTATCGCTTGAAATTAGCTTGTTTCAGGTACTGAGATAAGGGAACGTGGGGAAAATGAATTGTTTAAACTTTAGAGTGAAGGAGAAGGCTGTGGCAAAAGATCCTATGGTAAAAGAGGTTGCCTCTGTGTTTCAGATTCCTGGTTTGAGAGCAAATTCCTTCCCCTGAAGACCTAACACTTCAGGGTAAACCCTGAAATGTGGCAGCCACAGGACTGCCACACTGGCAAACCTGTCAATTTCAGTTTATCATTTTTCTAATGTTAAGTATAGTTCTCCATTATTTCCAGATCAGTTTTTGATTTACGTAATTATTTTTAAAGGCCTCGTGAAAATTCAATTTGCAACCTGAAATAGTACATTCAATGTATATGTTTACCTTTTTGTCTGTTTACCCCAAATGTCTTTGTTATTATATAACAAAGACCCAACTCATTCTGGTCACTATTGGCCATGCACCCTTCAAGTTGGCCCTACATATGAAAGCCTCCAGTTCTAGGTTAATGCAGACAACTGGTGGGGAATATGTGGCAACCTATGCGTTGTTGGACTCCAATTCAGAGTGAATAAGAATTGTAGTCCAATGACATCTGGTGGCCCATCCTTGGCATAGACCTTTTGTCTACAGCCCTCTGGATTTTCTGTTGAACAATATGTTTGTTTGTTGGGGGGTAGGTAACATACCGAATGAATGGCCAATTGAGTTGTCTTTTGGTGAAGCAACCCTGATTTAAAGCAGAGAAAAGTATCATGCGATTGAGTCTCTGCTGGTGCACTTGGAGCTGCTTATCTTCCACCAGAAGCAAAAACATATTTTACCCCAGCTACGAAATGTTTTAAATTGATCTTAGCTAACAGGCAATCTGAGGTGTCTTTCATTTGATGACAATATATTAAATGGGTATTTTTTTAAAAAACTGAGAGTTTGGAAAATCATTCGCAACACAAAAATGGACTGTTTTCTAGAACCATAGCAGAGTTGGGCCAATTAATGCAATAAACACATTATAATTGGGAAAACATCTCAGTTTTCTGTAAAACGTAAAAGATATACAATCTCTAGAGAAGAAGCAAGATTTGAAACTAAATGATTCATACTCATAATCCAAGAGCTCGTTTTCTGCTAGTCACATAATTGGCATCGCTGTAATTGTTTACTCTTTTATGAGGTAGCGCAAACCAGAACATGCAAAAATGATTAATTCTCTTTCTCTGCTAAAGGATACAGGCAAACAGCACAATTCAGCTAAGGAAGACTCATGCGCATAACCAGATTTAGGCACACATGTCACTAGCTGGATCAGAACCACTGGTGTAAATAAGAGGCATAGAATACACTGCCAAGTGTAGATAAAGCTCCTGTAACCCCCAGAGGTGATTGGACACCAACTCCCATCAGCCCCAATCAGCATGAACAAGGTGGAAATGTAAAGAAACTGAAGGTACATTTTTTCACCTTTGGTGGACGTGCCCAAAGATTAAGGCTTTCTGGGAAATGATATATAATGAATTAAAAAAGGTATTTAAGTATACCTTCCCTAAGAAACCAGAGGCCTTTCTCCTGGGCATAGCCGGCCAAATGGTGTTAAAAAGGATAGAACTTTCTTTATGTATGCAACAACAGCAGCAAGAATACTCATCGCAAAGTATTGGAAGACACAAGAACTTCCCACACTGGAGGAATGGCAGATGAAACTTATGGACTATATGGAATTGGCGGAAATGACTGGTAGAATCCGTGACCAGGGAGAAGAGTCGATGGAGGAAGACTGGAAGAAATTCAAAGACTATCTTCAGAAAATTGCAAAATTAAGGAATGTTAAAGGGATGTTGGACTGAAAGTAAGTGGTTTCCAGCTGCACAGGTTAAAATTAATGACAGATTAAGATTAAAGATCAAGATCAAAGATGTTTAAAGAAATGGAAATTTGATATTAAAAGGGAAAATTTTAATGTTATATGATATTAAGATCAAGGATTAGGTTTAAAAAAAAGTTGAAGTTATATATTTTAACATTTTATTAAATTAAAGATTGGGATTAAAAAAGTGGAAAAGAAACTGCTGGACAAATAATGTGGATTGGAATACAAAAAAAGGAGGTATGAGGAAGTCCAGAAAATAAGTAATTTAAAATTGGAAATGGAAAAGAGAGTTTGTTTTTAATTGTTATGCTTTTTGTTTCTTATGGTTGAGTTTTGTATTGTCTTTTGTGTGTGTTGTTCTTTTTCTTTTGTTGTTTAAAACTTTAATAAAAATTATTTAAAAAAAAAAAAACAATCAGCATGAACAAGGGTAGGTAAGAGATTTTGGGAGTTGTAGTCCAGCATCTGAAGGACCACAGTTTTCCCAACCCTGATATATTCTGTTGGCAATGCATTGCTTAAAAGAGGAAGTGCAGTCACTCACATTCTACTAGGCATGCCTTATCAGCTTGCTTATGCATTGACTACAGGTGGATCAGAGCCCAAGTGCTATCATATATACATAGAAAGAAGGGGGTAGGCAGCAGTGAATCTTATTTTACAGCTCAATATTTAGACTAGCAATCTCAAATTTCTGAGTGCCACTCCTTATGTAGCCAAAATGGCACCACTTGCACAGAAGAGGGAGGTAGCAGGCTGACAAGAACCCCAAGGTATACATACAGAAATACAAAAAGCTCTGTAGGGAGGAGGAATAAACTCAATCTGGATGAAAAATCTTCAGTGTACACTTCCTGTCTGTTGGAAAGAAAACAATGGGAAGAAAGTGGGGAGGATGGAATGGAGCATCCTGGAAGAAGAATGAAACACTGAACAGGAGTACTCCAACATGATAGTCACTCTTCCCTATGGATTGCGAGTATGCATGAGTGGTACTTTACAGTTCCTTACTCTTTAATATGAAAACTTGTCTAATGCTTGTTAAGGGGATCCTAAACCTCTTTAAGAAAGAGAAGCAAGGAATGCTGCAGGCATTAATTTTCAATTTATTTAGTCCCTCCTTTTGTCTTCGTTTGAAAAGACAAGGAGTATCACTTCAGGAGTCCAAAGCATTCATTCCTGAGTGAGGGACTGAATGCCTACATTTGTCAATGAATAATCTGTAGCGGCATACAGGTGTGTGAATAGCACTTGAATGAAAGAAGAGAACAGGGGCAGGCCATTGGTCAGATGAGAAGCAGAGTGAGTAAGTTATTGTCTTAGCACTGCAGATTCCATTTTTTACCAGAAACAATCCTCTGAAGGCCAAGCTACATGTGGTGTTCTGTCAAGGGGGCAGTTTTTCACCTGCCACATGAAGAAAAGAAGGAGGAGGAGGAGGAGGAGGAGGAGGAGGAAGAGGAGGAAGAGGAAGACGAGGAAGAGGAAGAAGAAACCATATACAGGCTTTCAGTCACTAATATGGCTAGTTAGTGGATTGTGATGGCCATGTCATAAGATGAATCTGATCAGAATACATACCACTGATGTATGATGATCTTCAGAGTTGGTAGGGCTGCATTTTTTAAATCCCTTTCCGGACACAGGGGCTTGTGCAGCACCAATAAGGAAACAGTACCATGTGTAGAGTTTCATGAGAAATGTAAACAATTTACTATAGGCAAGCATATACTATAGGCAAGTATAGGGAGTGGCTAGCAGACTAGGCTAAGCCCTGTCACCTCTCATGGCTGTTGCTGTTGCTGTTGTTGTTGTTTTAGCATTACTGGCTTTTTTAAAGATGCAGATGTGCAATCATTGCCTATATCAAAGTAGTTTTTGATTTTGGGGGGAATTCCTGTTCCTTGTCGCAGTCAAGCCACCCCCATGCACAAAAGAACACCACTCATCTTCTTGAAGTCAAAAGATTGCTTTTCCTAAAATTAAACAGCTAATTACTTCAATCATTTAGAATAGGTAAAAATAAGTGGTTCAACTGAGCTAAGATATACAGTGACACATGACCCAGAGAGCAGTGAAGGAGAGTCGGAGTTCTGCCTCCAGATCAGAGCTCTCATGGGGTCCCATGAAAGGATCCTACTACAGGATCTCATGAGAGATAGTAGGTATCTCGCCTGGGTATGGGGCCATTTTATTCCACAAACTTCCCATGTGCCCACCCTCACATTAAAGCCTTCACCAAGCTACTTGGGTTGCTGGTTAATGGGTCCAGAAAGGAATTTAATTGATTCTTGGTTGGGAGGTGTGGTGTTTGCCCATTTGTTTAGAGCCTGTCTGTACAGGGGGGAGAGATAGGGTTAAAAATATAGACCCATAGGAAAGCCGGAGGCGGGGGCCTACCTGTGTATAAAAGGGCTTAGCCCAAGGTTTGAGTTGGTTGTTGTTGGGAGTTGTTGGTGGGTAGTTGGTTGGTTTTAGTGGGTTGGCTGGTTGGGAAAGGTAGTTGGAGAAGCAGTTGGTAGGCAGTTGGTAATAGACAGTTAGGGCAGTGGATTCTTTGGTCAACTGGCAGGATTTAAACTGAATAAGTTAAAAACTAAGGTTTTAGAGAAAAATTTAACACCGATTGAAAGAGAGAGGTTTCAGAATGAGACAGGTTTGACTGTGGTTAAGAAAGTGAAATACCTAGGGATTAATATGACAGCCAAAAATGGGAACTTATTTAAAGATAATTATGAAAAATGTTGGACGGAAGTGAAAAAAGATTTAGAAATTTGGTCAAATTTGAAGCTTTCACTATTGGGTCGGATTGCTGTGATAAAAATGAATGTATTGCCTAGAATGCTGTTTTTGTTTCAAACATTGCAAATTGTGGACAAGATGGATTGTTTCAAGAAGTGGCAGAGAGATATTTCTAGATTTGTCTGGCAGGGCAAGAAGCCCAGAGTAAAATTTAAGATATTAACTGATGCAAAGGAAAGAGGTGGATTTGCCCTGCCAGACTTTAAACTTTACTATGAATCAGCAGCTTTTGCTGGTTGAAAGAATGGCTACTTTTGAAAAACACAGACATTTTGGACCTAGAAGGTTTTAACAATGTATTTGGATGGCATGCATATCTGTGGTATGACAAGGTTAAAGCGCATAAAGCATTTAAAACCATATTGTCAGGAAAGCATTGTTTAATGTTTGGATAAGATACAAGGATTTATTGGAAAACAAAACCCCAAGGTGGCTGTCACCGATGGAAGCGAAAGCTCTGAAAAGGCTCAATATGGAGGCCAATTGGCCGAAATATTGGGAAATTTTGGAACAAGATGGAGATAGACTGAAACTGCAGAGTTTTGAGAAACTAAAAAATAAAGTGCGAGACTGGCTTCATTATTATCAGATAATGGAGGCATATAATTTGGACAAGAAAATTGGCTTCCAGGTGGAAAAATCAAAATTAGAAACAGAACTGTTAGAACCCAAAACTAAGATTTTGTCAAAGATGTATAACTTGCTGTTGAAATGGAATACTCAGGATGAAACGGTGAAATCTGCTATGATTAAATGGGCACAAGATTTTGGACATAACATTATGTTTGCTGACTGGGAACAGTTGTGGACCACAGGTATGAAGTTTACGGCATGTAATGCCCTAAGAGAGAATATTATGAAAATGATATACAGGTGGTACATGACCCCAGTCAAGCTTGCAAAAATTTATCACTTGCCCGATAACAAATGTTGGAAATGTAAAGAAACTGAAGGTGCATTCTTTCACCTTTGGTGGACATGCCCAAGGATTAAGGCTTTCTGGGAAATGATATATAATGAACTGAAAAAGGTATTTAAATATACCTTCTTGAAGAAACCAGAGGCCTTTCTCCTGGCCATAGTTGGCCAATTGGTGCCAAAGAAGGATAGAACCTTTTTTATGTATGCCACAACAGCAGCAAGAATACTCATTGCAAAGTATTGGAAGACACAAGATCTACCCACTGTGGAAGAATGGCAGATGAAGCTGATGGACTATATGGAACTGGCAGAAATGACTGGCAGAATCCGAGACCAGGGAGAAGAGTCGGTGGAAGAAGATTGGAAGAAATTCAAAGACTATCTACAGAATTACTGTAAAATTAATGAATGTTAGAATGATGTTGGATAGAAATTAAGTGGTTTCCAGCTGTAATGCTTTAAGGGATTATGAAAAATGGGTTGTTAATAGGTAAAAATTTAACGTTACTATTTTAAGACTAAAGATTAGGATAAATAAAGAGGGTAAGGATTTGCTGAACCAACAAATTGAACTGGAATACAAAAAGGGAGGTATGAGGAGGTCCGGGAAACAAGCTAAAGGAAAACAAGTAATGGAAAATCTGTGTGTTTTTAATTATTTTTATTTTGTATTTTTGTTATTTTTTTCATTTTTATTGTAATACTTTAAAAAAGCTTAATAAATATCTTATAAAAAAAAAGTGGATTCTTGAGTGAGGGGAGGTAGAAGATATAGAGAGAGGAAAATAAGACTAAGAAAGTAAAGAGCAACAACGTTTGGAATGACGATAAAAGTTTGTTTGTGTCTGAAATAAAATACACTCTTCTTTATTAATTGAGAACCTGACTGAGGCTGAAGTGATTTTACCAGGGAGGACCAGGTTGGTGGCAGCGGATTAGTGGTGTACGGGTCAATAGTCCATGAGACGACCAGGGGCTCCATACAAACGCCACAGGAGGGTTTCACCTTTCGTTCCATGAAATGAAGGCATTAATAATGTCTGTTATGTAGAAGGCAGAAATGGCATTGGGCAGGATCAACATAGTGAAGGGGGGCCCATAAGGGGTCTGTGGGGAAGACTGACCATGTCATGTCCTAAGCTCAGGTTGGGATCTCTGCTTGGCTGAAATCCTCACCCCAGTTATGAGATCCTAGAATCTTGGCTTGCTCCACAATAGGGTTCAGACAGGTGGCTGAGTAGAATGACAAACTGATCTTTGCTTTTGAATTGATCATATGATTCAACTGGGCTTGCATGAGGGACTGTTTTTTAGTAAATGTCTAAAACAAAGGTAAGGAACCTTTTTCAACTTGAACGCCATTTGCTTCCTCTACCCAGCCTTCCTTTGGCTCACTGCCTTTCCAAATCAGACTGTGGATGACGTCAGAGCAGTTCAGCCAATGGTGGCAAGACAAGAGGCTTTGGCTCTGCGCAATGCTGAAATTGCTGACAAGCAAACCAGGAGGGAAGCTGATGCTTTTCAGCTGCAATTAATCTTTATATATACCCTTTCCAAAAAAAATCTGCCCGGTGACATCCTTCAGTAACTGTCACAACAAGGTGTTTGCTTTTACCTTTAGCACAGATGCCAGATGCCTTTCTCAGGGTTAATTAATCAAAGCGACTTGTTAATTAGGTGACTTTCTACTGTATAGGTAAGCTATATGGAGTTGGCAGCGTCCCCTTGTCCTGTCAGGGCATATAATTGCTTTAAAGAGGTATAGCCTTTGCCAGGCAGCCGAGCGTGTGATGGAAACTGCAGGGGGGCTGGCTCTGGTGCAGCTTATTAGCCCATCTGCTTCGTAAAGTACATTGTGATGCACTTGCAGAAATGATTTCTAACAGGAGATGAAAAAATGTACTTTGCAAAACTGTTCACAGGTGGAGGACGCCGCCGTTGTTGCCCTGGATCAAGAGGCAAGTTTGGTTCAGAGTATTATTGTTGTTGACAGTGGTGTGCCTATTCTTCCTCTTCACTTGCATTGATGTTTGTTTTAATATTGGGAATAGGATGCAGGTGGCGCTGTGGTCTAAACCACAGAGCCTTCTGGGCTTGCTGATCAGAAGGTCAGCGGTTCGAATCCCTGCGACGGAGTGAGCTCCCATTGCTCTGTCCCAGCTCCTGCCAACCTAGCCTTTCAAAAGCACGCCAGTGCAAGTAGATAAATAGGTACCACTGTGGTGGGAAGGTAAACAGCGTTTCTGTGTGCTCTGCTTTCCATCATGGTGTCCCATTGTGCCATAAGCGGTTCAGTCATGCTGGCCACATGACCCGGAAAGCTGTCTGGGGGCAAATGCTGGCTCCTTCGGTGAGATGAGCGCCACAACCCCATAGTCGCCTTTGACTGGCTTAACCTTTACCTTTTCCTTTTTTTATCCTTTATTGGGATGAGAGAAAGGAATGGTATGGGATTGGGCTGTGTAATGATTTATCAGCATGCAGGCAAATTCATACTAAATAATTTAGTTCCACAGCTTCTTCAGGCTAAGTCCCCTGTCAATTTATATGGGAGAGAGATCCCTCTGTCTTCTTAGGAGATGGGGTTTTGACCCACTAAACATTTCATTTGATACATGCCAAGGATAAAACATCTTATAGGAATGGGGAAATCCACATGCAAATCTTCGCTCACCAGTGGAGCTCACTGGGTGACCTTGGGCCAGTCACTACCTCAGCCTTGCCTTCCTCACAGAATTGTTGCATAGACAAAATGGAGGAAACTGTGTTCACCACCGTGAATTGCTTTAAGGAAAGGTGAGGTGTCAGAAACAGTAGCATATGTCATGGTGGAGCTTCAATATTCACTGGATCTTCAGGTAATCACTACAGCTTACTGGGAGCGAGGAAAGGAGGGGTGAGGCTGTGGTAAGCTTGGTGCAAGCCACACCAACAGAACCAATGCCATTCTCACTGCCTTGGGTGTTAGGTGAGTGCCACCCCCATACCCAACACCAATCACAGCTGATTCTTTTTAAAAGTACTGTATTTTTCCGTTTATAAGACTAGATTTTTTCCTAAAAATAATGTCAAAAATTAGGGGGCGTCTTATACATGGATACATCTCCTCCCATTTTCTTAACTCTGAGTCCCCCAAAATAGGGGGCATCTTATACATGGGGGCATCTTAGAGATGGGAAAATATGGCAATTTTATTATAAACGCATAAACTGGGGAAGCATTGGCCCATGACACAACACGATAGTAAATGATTAATTTGATCTGTGTCGGAGCAATTTCAAGACCAGCTTACCAGATCACCCATGCTTGCTTTTTTTTAAAAAAAAATAGCCTTCACAATCTCCCTCCTTAGGTATCCTGCTTTTTCCTGTGTGAAAGAGTGACGGTTCTACACCAATTTCATTTGGAGATGATGGTTTAATTTGCATGAGCCCTCATGTGGCAAGAGATGCTAGGAGTTACTATGTGAGGGACAACCTTTGGCTGTGTGGGAATAATTTAAGATGGTAAATAATACCTGATGTCTAGGCTTCCCTTCCAGGTGTTTCGATGAATTTATACATCTTTGTAGCAGCCAGGAGCTCCTATGCTGAGTCAGTTCAGGGCATTTTTTTATGATGTGTGAAAGCATAAGCTGTCTTTTGTTAACTGCTTTCTCTAAAAAGCTTGCAACTTCATTTATCTTTATGTGGCATCTTATTGTTTAATTTAATTTCTGCACTAGCTTAATAGTTTCCATGTGTGTGTGTTTAATGTGCTAAACTAAAATGTTGCTAATGTTTATTTCTACCTTGAGAAAGAAATTATCTCTGAAACCAATGCCATCAAAAATAGATTTCAGCATTGGTCTCAGTAAACTGCATATCAGAGTAATTAAATTCAGCACCTTAATGAACTTCAGATTCAAAACTTGCACTCCAGAAGCCCTATGGGGATTATGCTGATTTGAAAAGATATAAAGTCTGTCTAAAAGAGATAGGAATAGACAGAGAAATCAGATAAACACAGACTGGCAAATGAAATGTGATATGTGCCGCTGATATTTTCATTAATGTTTTTCCTCCTGACAAGTTTTCCCATCATCTGGGAAGATCACATTTTGCTATCTCTGATATTTATATGTCATGTCTCCCAAAGCTGCTTTTCATGATCTGAGGAGAAGCCAGAGTATTAAAAAGCTTGTTATATTACATGTGCTGGTATACAATGTGTAGTTTGATCAGTAATAATAACAATAATAATAATTTATTATTTATACCCTGCCCATCTGGCTAGGCTTCCCCAGCCACTCTGGGCGGCTTCCAACAAAATATTAAAATACAGTAATGCATCAAACATTAAAAGCTTCCCTAAACAGGGCTGCCTTCAGATGTCTTCTAAAAGTCTGGTAGTTGTTGTTCTCTTTGACATCTGGTGACATCTGGTGGGAGGGCGTTCCACAGGGTGGGTGCCACTACCGAGAAGGCCCTCTGCCTGGTTCCCTGTAACTTGGCTTCTCGTAGTGAGGGAACCGCCAGAAGGCCCTCGGCACTGGACCTCAGAGTCCGGGCTGAACGATGGAGGTGGTGACACTTCTTCAGGTATACTGGACCAAGGCCAGTTTGCAGAACCAAGGAATTGGCCAGGACTGAAGATGTCCTTAGAAAGAATCACTTCTGGCTTGAAACAGTGGGGTAAGCTCTCTTCCCTATGCTACACCACCTGGTGCCCTCCAGCAGGTGTTGGCTGGGGCTGATGGGAGTTGTAGATCAAAACATCTGGAGAACATGAGGTAGGCAAAGGCTGGCCACTCTCCAGAACTTTACCTGTTTAGTTCCCACCATGGAATAGAAACAAAAGTAAAAATGTGCTCCTCTGATTTGCAAGGCATTTCTGCTAGAGATTTTCTGTGGCACACTCCATCCAGCAAAGCAAATCTTTAAAATACCTCCTTCTTAAGAAGATGCTGAAAGGGGTGGGGCGAAGAGAGAGAGAAATCTTCCTTGTGAAAAGCCTAGCATTTAAATTCTTTAGACTGTCATGACCGTCACTTTGCTATTAATCCGAACCTCTACTGTGCCGCATTAGGATTTCACACACCTTTGGAGCTTAAAAGAGGATGGCATTCATTTTTCAGGCTAAGTCAGGATCAAAGAATATCTTTCTCCTTCTCTCAGTCGCATAAATATGGCTCACATGCCGCCCGCCTACCAGCAGTGTTTACCCTAGACGCTCCATGGGCCCCAAAGCATGTGCATACAGGGGATTGTCAGGACTTTGATTCGTGATAAATTTCACACAAAGAAAGAAATAGCCGACAAAATCAGAAATGCGGGTCAATTGATGCTAAATCAGTGGCATTAATAATGCTTATTTCAGAAGTGGCCTGGATTCAAGAGAAAGAGGATTTGAAAAACAACAACAGCAGCAGCCCTGGAAAATTACAGAAAAGACTGCAATGCTCATACTAAGGAAACAGGTAAGCATTTTATTATTGGAAATTCCTTAAGTACCTTTTATGATATTGTGGTCATATTTTCCCAATGTATATCTTATCAATGCACCTTTCCATCCTCCCTATCATTTTGCCCCATGCTCTACAGTGCATAAAAGGCTGAGAAACTGTTGTCTGTTGTTCGGGTGAATGTGCCAGAGGCAAGGTAGACCCAGGAGTGGAGCATTATGATGTGAACCCGTTGTTCAAATAACAAGGCAACCCTACCATTAGGCGGTGACACAATCACTTCTCGAGGAAGCCATGATGCCCCCTATGCCATTTCCCATGAGCCATTTCATTCTGTTGGAGATAAGTTCTATGTGTGGCCCATGCCCGTTATGTTACCACATTGCCACTGTTGAAGTAAGACTCAACTGTGTTATATGCTGGGATGTGTGTATGTTAGATGCTGGGATGCCATTGAAGTCAGTTTGGAAACAGCAGCTGCTGCAGGATTCAGCAGCCAGGTTGCTCACTGCAGCAAGGTGATTTGAACACATACCACCAACCCCCTGTGTGTTTTTTTGCAAATCTTTTTTTTATTGATTTTCATTTTTCCCCAAATTGATCACTAATTAAAACATATTAAATTAAATTAAAACAAAATAACATTTTCCCAAATCTGAACAAATTCAACATTTTCCCAAATCTGACTTCCTGCACGCCCTCCTGAATGTGTCAATGGTTCTCCTTGATGTTGCATCATATTCCCCAGTTAACTCTAGTTTAACTTCGAACATTACAAATAACCTTACATTACAATATACATTGGTATCTCTGGATGCGAACGGGATCCGTTCCGGAGCCCCGTTCGCATCCTGAATAGAACATAACACGCAACTGTGCATCTGCACGTGCGTGGGTCACGTTTCGCTGCTTCCACGCATGCGCGTGAAGTCATTTTGAGCGTCTGCGCATGCGCAAGCTGTGAAACCCAGAAGTAATGTGTTCTGTTACTTCCGGGTCGCCGCGGAGCGTAACCTGAAAACGCTCAACCTGAAGCATATTTAACCTGAGGTATGACTGTCCTTGCTTTTTTAAAACTTAACTCCTTTTCAGACAACTATCCACCAACCAATTGCTGCACATTTATTAAATGAACATTTCCAGTTTCAACAAGTGAGGTTACTTTTCCAATTGTCAATCCCTTGATTAACATTAATTAGCATAGAAAAGAAGAAGAACTTCCTCTCTTTGCATCTGTGATACACTGGCTACCCATTAGTGGCTCAACCCAAGTCAAAGTGCTGGTTTTTTATTTATAAAGCCATATGTTCCTTGGGACCCCAATACTACATGGACCAAATTACAAACACCAAGAAATTTAAGTGGAAGCTATACTTATTTTAAAAGATAATTTGAGCATGCCCAAGTTGGAATGTTTGGTTGCAATGGCCCATGAAACCATTTGTGTCCATATGCATTCTACTGTGGGGAAACCACGCATTTCAAGAAAGATCCAGGGGTGAGGAGCCTGTGACTCTCCAGATGTTGTTGGACTAATGTTCCTGAAATATACTCAGAGTCGAGTGTGGATTTCATGCTCTTTATTCAGCTCACAGTAGCAAGGAATGGAAGTTCCCCCACAATATCCGCTTTATATACATTATTTACACAATGGGCCAGACGTGATTGGCTAATTTCAGGATTCTCCTGTAGGCCAATCAGGTTGCGGATTCACTTCCACCTGGAGCTGGATTGGGTGGCTCCTGTGGACCAATCAGAGTGCTGCATTCTGAATCCTACTGTTCTAGGACCAATCAGACTGCTGCATTTTGGATCCTATTGTTCTAGGACCAATCAGACTGCTGCATTTTGGATCCTATTCAGCTCAGTACATAACAGTTCCCATGCTGTCTACTAGGTCTAATAGGAATTGGAGTCCAACAAGTCCCCCCATTCCTGCTATAGGCCATCTTTGTCATTTTCTCTTTGTTTATCATTCCTACCCCTTTCTCTGGATAGGGACGCGGGTGGCGCTGTGGGTAAAACCTCAGTGCCTAGGACTTGCCGATCGTATGGTCGGCGGTTCGAATCCCCGCGGCGGGGTGAGCTCCCGTCTTTCGGTCCCAGCTCCTGCCCACCTAGCAGTTCGAAAGCACTCCTAAGTGCAAGTAGATAAATAGGTACCGCTTTATAGCGGGAAGGTAAACGGCGTTTCCGTGTGCTGCGCTGGTGCTGGCTCGCCAGAGCAGCCGGCCACGCTGGCCACGTGACCCGGAAGTGTCTCTGGACAGCGCTGGCCCCCGGCCTCTTAAGTGAGATGGGCACACAACCCTAGAGTCGGACACGACTGGCCTGTACGGGCAGGGGTACCTTTACCTTTACCTTTTACCCCTTTCTCTGTGTGTGTGTGTTTTTGGGGTTTTTTTTACATCTCTCACTTCTGTCTGTATTTCAGGTGAATTCTGAAAGATTGAAAGCCCGGCACAAGGAGCAATTGAAGGGAGTGCGAGAATCCCTACACAGGTCTTTCAGATCTGTTGTGTGGTTACAGAGATGTTGATATTGATAGCAAACATCTATTTCGGAGATGTCACAATAGAAGTACCTATGTGCAAACATGTACTTTATTTTCCCTTCCCTCCCTCCTCTTTGTGAAAGCAAAATCAATACCAAAACTATATTGTAGCTGTATTTTTACATCGGAGACATAACGCTTTTGAGAGTCAGTACAAAGGCTTTCAACAAAAAATAAAGCCTTTCAGTTTGCTCACTGGACATAACCACAATGCACTGTGTTAAGCTGGTTACCCAGAGACATGTTTCTAACGGAATCATATAGTTAATAAGCTCAGTGTGAAAAGCTGTAGGTTACATCTTTTATCCACGGCTTGTTTATGGTAAACAAAATACAACCTCTTCTGTCTGCTGCAGTGTATTCTAAAAAAATTTTTTTTTTTAATGTGGGGGCTAATAATATAATTTGCCTGTTGTTTCCTAATAGCTGTCACATCTAGGTGGACTTTTAGGTTGGAAACAGATGCACTATAAGGAGGCTCACAGCAAGGAGGCTAAGCACCATGAACCACCTTCACAGCTCAGCTGATGGAACAGCAGCAAGCCAGCAAATTGTGCCTTGCATCTTTTCCTTCTGACATCTCCTCCTCCTTCAGCTCTGTCTTGGGAAAGTTCTGGGCTTTTTAAAAAGTTTCCTGTAGCTGAAGTGATGTGACCTTTTCCATCCTTAGGCACCTGGCGGTGTGGTGCTTTATTAACATTCCCCAGCTGGAATGTGGAAAAGGAGGAAGAGCATTAATGACCCTCTAGTCAAGTGTCAATGAAGACACAGAATTGGAGACGGCAGAGTCACCAGCTAAGGAGTCAGGCTGGTTAATACCAGTCTCCACCCCCCACTGTTCAGCCCAGACACTGAGGTCCAGCTTTGAGAGCCTACTGGTAGTTCCCTCACTGCAAGGAGTGAAGCTACAGGGAACCAGGCAGACGGCCTTCTTGGTAGTGGTGCCCGTCCTGTGGAACGCCCTGCCATCAGATGTCAAGGAGATGAGTAACTATATAACCTTTAGAAAACATCTAAAGGCAGCCCTGTATAGGGAAGCTTTTTAATGTTTAATGTTTTATTATGTTTTTATATATGTTGGAAGCCACCCAGAGCCAGATGGGTGGGGTACAATTATTATTATTATTATTATTATTATTATTATTAAAGTAGCAAGAGTAGAATCAGTCAAACATGCCTGCTCCCTCCTTGCAGCACCAGTGGTGCTCTGTTGTTGGCAAGTTTGGATCCAACCCAAGTACTGCAAAAGAAAAGAGATTTCATTCAGTGTTAACGCCGAAGGACAGCTTATATCCCCCTCCTCCAGCTTTATGGTTCTTTTTTCTAAACAATTCTAATTTCTTAAAAGAGGGCTATTAGGATAATGAAAATATTTTCATTTTCCATTGGTTCTGCAGAAGAAGAAGAATTTCTTTGATGTTTTGGCATGATCTCAATTTACAATAAGTTTTTCTTTCCTCTTGCAAAATGCAATTTGCAGTTTGACACCGGTATGTATATTTACAATGGACTTGTTGGACAGAGATCAAACTTTAGAACTTGCGCTTCCCAATAAAATTTATATCTCCAGCTAGCTAAAAGAGTGTGTGGATGGCACCCCTGTTGAGTTTGTTGACAGCTGCAAAACTGCAGTTTCTTTTGGAGTCGGTCTCCTCAAATTTTAGACTCTGCGAAGATGACACTCAGCACTAAATTTTGCTCTTGTCATGAATAATATCATGCTTGTTAACAAGAGGGAACAAACTGACTTTTTAGCGGAGTCCTCCCTTCCCCCTCCCCCACCGAATCCTTTGTTGTCAGTTCTTCAGAATAAAATCAGCAAGTTAACAAAACCGCAGGCGTGTTTAAAACTGGTGTGTGTGTGTGTGTGTGTGTGTGTGTGTGTAGAATGTTGGGGTGAACAATAGGCCGTCCGTAGCAATGTCTGCATCACTTCTAAAGCAATCATTATTGCAGTCTGCCATCTTTGCCAATCCAGCACTCTCTGCGGAAGCATAAACTTTATTCTTAACGTGACATGTGGCTTCTAAATTTGCTTTCAAGTGTGTATGCTTGGAAACAGAGGCTTGAATTCAACTTTTGAACACTGAAAAACGTCACTTGGCTAGTTCCTCACATAGCATTATGTTGTAGCAAAGCCTCGTTAGATCTAGAAATTCACTGTTCTCCTTCTGTCTCTGTTGGTGACGTCTGAATTCCTGCATAATAAGGTTTTTGTGTTCACCTAATATTGCCATTAAGAACCAAAATCTCTATTGTGTGTTTTACTGTGTCAGTAGAATTCCTCCAGTAAGCTGTTGGATAGCTTACGCTTGCATTTCATAGTGTGTTTAATAGGCAGTAAGTCCCAATGCGCAAAGCAAGGCCTATTATTGTGTCAGGTTAACTGAGGCACAGAATATATTTCAACAAAGGTGTAGCCCTACAAAAGTATACATTGCATAGAGAAATGTGGTGTAGATCACAACCAGCTCCTCGTCTTCTGGCTTGCCTCTGTTTTTATCCTCTCAAGTTATATACCACAGCACACATTACAATCTGTCACCGCAAGAATGGCGCTGAAAACTACCTCCGTGTGACGAGCCATCCCTGTCCTGCTTGGAATATTCTAAATCACCGACTTGCTTCCATCTTGTCATAAGTCCCCAGACTCCCCTCTGGGGCCACCAGCAAGATTGCATGATGCCGTGGAGACTTCGCAACAGAATGAGGACAAGTCATGCGGTGATGTTTTGTCCTAATGGTATGTCTGCCATGAGAATTGCTTGCCCCGGGGAGTTCCCTGGTTTCTTTGGTATCACCCCCACGTTGACCATAAAGCATGCTCCGGCTCTTCATCTCTTCCCAAGGAGTTGTACGTGCTCAGTTGATTACAGCGATCAGGATTTCTCGCTCTGCAGGTTTCATGGAGTAGGGTGCAAAAGGAAGATATTTTGTGACAGGCAGATAGCAGATCTTGAGGATTTTCTTGTGGTTTAGGCAAAAGCACTTCATGGGGGTGGGTGGGAAGGGAAATTGTCGTATCTCAGTGGTAGAGCATGCTCTTCTCATGAAGATGGTCCCAGGTTCAGCCTCTGGAATCTCGCAAGAAGGCTGCAAGAGACGCCTGCCAGTAATTCAGGAGAGCTGCTGCCAGTCCGTGCAAACAATACTAGGCTAGATGGACCGGTTGTGTGATTCTGTAAAAGATGGCCTCCCACGATCCCTTGAGCTCTCAAGTGGAGGCCAGTCAGTCAAAGTAATTGAAGCTTTTTGATCACTTGTGCTTCTGGGGTTTTGATAAAGCAAATCAACTTTTAATGTTTAAACATTAGCTAGGGATTCATAACATTTCCTGTGTTTCTTCCTCTATGCCCTCTTATTCCACCACTTACCCCATACTCCTGGACCAGATCAGGTGCATCCAGAGCAATCTGAGGCTACCCAAATTTTTTGGGGGGGCAGGTCTGGCAGCAAAGGGGTGGAGGAGATGCAAGCCGGCTGGGTGTCTCCTCCTCTCTCCCTCTCCCGCACATTTCTTCAGAGGCTTTAAGGCTAAGCCTTATTCAACACTGTGCAAGGCCTCTGAATAAGTTTGGAGCCCAGACCTGGGTCAGTCTTGTGTCAACCTGGGTTGGATTGGGATCCCACCAAATCACTGGATTTTGGACGGGGTGTGTGTTTGCTCGCACAGCCATCTGTATGGTGAATGCAAGAGCTTTCTACCAACTCCCAGAGGACCTGGAAGGAAAATGTCCCTCATGAACAAAATTCTGAAATATCTATGAAATATACTCAGAGTTGAGTGTGGATTTCATGCTCTTTATTCAGCTCATAGTAGTGAGGAATGAAATTTCCCCCAAAATATCTGCTTTATATACATTATTTACACAATGGGTCACACGTGATTGGCTAATTCTGGGATTCTCCTGTAGGCCAATCAGGTTGCGGATTCACTTCCACCTGGAGCTGGATTGGGTGGCTCCTGCAGACCAATCATACTGCTGCATTGTTCTAGGACCAATCAGACTGCTGCATTCTGGACCCTATTGTTCTAGGACCAATCAGACTGCTGCTTTTTGGATCCTATTCAACTCAGTACATATCAATCTATTTTTTTTAAAAAAAAAGCATGAAGAGTTCTCAGTCTGCACACATGTTTCTGCAGCTGAATTTCACTAGTGAGAAAGAAAAATGGAAAGGAGAGAGGGGTGTCATGTAAGCAGCCTCATTACGAACACATCCTATCATAGGATGAAGAAAGGAAGAGCTCGATCACACACTCCTTTAAAAAATGAAATTATTATGGCAGTGCGGGTGGTCTAGTTTCACACCCAACACATCAGGAAAAGCAGAACAGATGACACTATAAGAGGTACAATCTGGAAGAACCCTTAGTTACAAGTTTTTCCAATGACCAGCTAAGGTGGAAAAAATTAAGGACAGGAGGACCTCAAAGCTGCTGGTTTCTCAGCTGCTGGTCTCTCAGCTGCACTCCTTTTCCCTCCTCTGCTACAGTCTGATGTAGGCTTGCCATACATCAGGAAAATTTCTGAGATGTCCTGGTTTTCGGGTGTAAAAATGGCGTCGGAGGGAATTTTCCCGAATTGGCAAAATGTCAAGGAAACCCGGATGTATGGCAATGTGATGGAAAAAGCAGCGGAAAAAAATTCAAAAAAGCTCATTGATTTCGGGGTCTTCCTAAGAAAAGCTCAACAACTTCCTTTGTGGGCGCCAGGAATTTTACTTTTTCAAATAATCTGATGCAATGGTTGCTTCCAGGTGACAGGTGATGGGAGGAGCTGCCTGTCTCCTCAGCAGAGTTGATGATGAGCCTGCTTCTCTCTTCCTCCCTCCTCCATTAGAGTCTAATGGAATGGATGCTGCCTAGTGACAGATATATCACAATACTATTGGAAACAAGCGATGCCATGTCTGCATTTGCAGAGAGACAGCTTGTATTCTGGACAACTCTGGCACTATAACAAATACTTCTGCCTAGATGATGGGTTGTTAAGCCCACTAGAGTGCTTTATATGTGGAAGAATTTTTTTAAAAAATAAGTTTTGCAGCTGGTTATTTTTTCATTTTATACTCATTAAATATACTGGGGCAAGCAGCTGAATGCTAGACAAGAATAATATTATTATGACTGGCGGGCTACAGCTACTTTCTGATGAGTTTGAAGTAGGTTGTTCAATGAGAGCTACAGAACGGCCACCTCTCTGGAGGGTCTAGTGTACCAAGTTACACAAATTTTGTCAGCTGTAAAGGCCCAGCCGGTTTACTTTCGCGATGTGCATTCCAGACCCTCCAAGTGTCCCTATTTTCCAGGGACAGTCCCAGATTTACAGAAGCC